TTTGTACGTGACGGTGTAGTGGATCTGTCGCGGGTTGAGATTCGGTTGGGTGCGGATGTACTATAGGGATCGGTGGTCTGTCCGTACTGTCACGTCTGCTCCGGTGAGGTAGCATTGCCACACTTGAACGCGTGCACGATCGCCAACATTTCGCGGTCGTGTATCAGGTAGTTGCGTTCGGGCGGGTGAAGCTTGCGGGACTCGTACGCGATTGGCTGAAGGTCGTTCCCGAAGTCTTGCAACTGTACAGCTCCTACGGTAATGTCACTTGCGTTGGTGACGAGCTCTAACGGACGGTGCGGATCTGCGGTAATCTAGCTGCTTCCTTATTTCGTCCAATTCGGGTTGGGTCAGTCAGAACGGTCGCTGTACTGTATGTTGTGCCCCTTGTTCTAATTCTATCCTGTGGTCGTGCGGTCGATGAGGTGGCAGTCCTGTCGGCAAGTCGTCCGGAAAAATCGCACTGTACTGCTTCAGTAGCGCTGACAGGTCATCCGGTACGTCGGCTAGCAGTTTCTGTAAATCCCCCCCTTTGTCTACTGCCTCGGCTTCCCGAATGTCGACCGCGTACACGTCAGCTCCTGCCGCTACGGTGTGTTTCATCGTGATTTCGTTGACACGGACCGACGAAGACACAGGCGAGCCCCAGCGAGGTAAGGCGATGTTGTTACCGTTCACTCGCACGGTGCAGTCACCCGTCGTCCAGTCGATTCGCGGATTGTGTTGTCGCAGCCAATCACGGCCGAGTAAAATGTCGGTTCCGTCGAGGGTTGTCGCGAGCATTTCTTGGCTAAACATGAAGTTACCCCCGTAGCGAATCCGAACCCGGTCTACGCGTTCCCGTATCGCCAGTGGCGTGCCGTCAACCAGTCTTGCGTCGATCTCAGGTAAACATCCGTCCAGTGGCAGTCTCAGTTTTTGTGCTGTGGCGGTGTTGATCAGGCTGTGGCTGGCTCCCCCGTCTACGAATATTTTAACTAAGTCCGTCCCAATTTTCCCTCTAAGCAATATGGGGCTGTCCATTGTAGTACCCTCTTTATTCGGCCGGGTGTGGTCGATTGTGTGAACCGGCACAATCACTCGGTGAGGGTCGGTTGGGTCGGGCGAGCGACGTGACCTGTCAGTAGAGGGCCTGTCTGCTACTGACTCCCAGTGTTTCCATGCTGCTTGGTCTGTTTCTGCTGATCAGCTTCCCCCTTTCCCTTAGGGTTTTCCGAACATTCGCTTTTGCGGTGTCTCGGCCGATTGCACGCGAAGCAGCGCCCTTTAAACGGAGCAGCAGCGGCATTTGCGGCAACGGCACGTATTGTAGTGCCCTCGTTCATCCCACGAGATCGGTGTCCCCAGTTGCTGTTGCTTCCGTAGGACCCCGGTCTCGGTCGGCAGAAAATGTCGCGCTTCTCCGCCATGGCGAGAATCTCCTGAAAATCAGTGACGCCGCGGAGCTGGATTTCCGGAGCGATATCATGCTTTAGGCCGCCAATGTAGCGGTCGATACGCTCGGATTCATGCATGTAGCCCACTTGATCGCACAACGCCAGAAACCCGCTGGTGTAGTCTTGGACGGAACCGATTTGGCGCCAAGTGCGGAGCTTCTGACGCGCCGCGATCGAAGCCGCGATTGACTCAATCGAGCGCGCAGACCTGCGCACCACGCGTCCCACGTGCGATATTGGGGCACCTCCATGAAATACGACGGCGCACAGGGTCCGGTTTGTCCTTCCCGTGTCGGTAAAGTCGCGTAGTCCGTCGGCTTCATGACGATAACGCGCCACCAATCCATGGCGGGTCCTCGCATCAGCGACACGGCGTAGCGAATCTTCGCCGTATCCTCCGAGACGTAGTTGGCGTCGAAAAACATGTTCAACGTGAACAACCACGCCTGAACCGTAAGACCACCCTGTTGACTCCGGTCAAAGTATGGCGGACGCTGCGGCTTCAGCAGCATCGGTGACGGCAGTGCCGAATCGTTGGTCGGTGCCGAAATCGTGACGTGAGGCTGGCTCCTGGCCGCATTCGTCGCTTCGGGGTGTGCCGTGCCGAGGTTGTCGTCTCCGTCGTGGCGGACGACGCCATCAGTGGCCACGCTCGCGGGTTGCCCCACACTCCCGTGCTGCGGTGCTTGTGGTGCATGTTATCCCAGAGGGCCAAGTGCTTGTGATTGTGCTTGCTGTGCTCGTGCGACGTCATTCTGCAGGGACGTGCGTTCGGCCGTCAGTGCCGCGATTTCTTCAGAGTTTTCGTGGAGTTGTCGCAGCAGCTCGTTCAAACTGTCCTACGTGAGCGTCGTGACGTCGAAGGGCGTCGGCTCGGCTTAGTCTAGGCGCAGTCGTGGCTGCACGCGTTTACAAGAGAACGCGAGGACAGCGGCTCCTAGGGGCTAAGGCGCGTGAGTCCCTTCGAGTGAAAAATCAAAAAGTTGATTTCCTGGGGTGCGGGGATGTGCGGTCCGAAAAGAAAGTGGCTCTGACAACCAAGTGTTATGGGTGCAATGAATCGAGGTAGCGAGGATTGCACTAGAGTGTTCAAGGAGTACAAAGTATGAGTGAAGGCATGAGTGAATACTTATAGGCAAAACATGCGAACGATAACGCAGTGCGTGCGAACTAACTAGTGCTACGCTGACGCGAGGTTCGGGCTAGTCCCGAATCGTAGGCTGACTCGGCCGGTCCAGCAGTGCGAGGTTTGGTGAAACGGTGCGCGCGAAGTTGGCGAAGCCCCGTTAGCAACAACGGCTGCTGTTGTACGCGATGTTGACGGTCGCAGTAAGGAATAGCGAGAAAATTCCTTACATGTATATATTTTAATCACCACGAATGATTATCTCAGTACAGTATGTGTGACCGTTTTTATATCCATGGTCATCATACCCTGAACCCTGATTGGTTATTTATTTATTTAGTTTAGATTGTAATAATGAAAAATCACACTCCAATGTATGGATGAGATGCAAATAATGCCTTTTAGAACATCCCTTTCAGATTGTACTTGCTTTGCACAATCTCCCTATCGGGTATGTCACTGAAGTGTCATGAACAAATCCTCAAATAATTGCCTTGCTTCGAGCTGTCACGTTGGATTGGCTGGGCTGGAGTGTGGTTGGTTGGTGGGGTTTTGCAGTCCCTACCCGCGTGTGGACTAGCATTGACGCGGTGTGTCACATGGAAAACACGTCGAATCCCTGCTGGATCTCCTTTCTCGAGATAAGTGATTGGTTTCTTCGTTCCGTGATTTGCGAGTCATGACGCCACCTCTGCATTTTTCGCTTCACCCAAACCGCATACTGACCACCACCACCGAACCTGCATGGCTGGACCTCGAACCTAGACAGACATGGCCCTTGCCTGTCGCTCTCACAAGTCGCGGTTCCTGCAGGTCACGCAAACCTTGAACTTGCAAGCCTGAGGTTCGCCTGAACCGAACCTGCGAACCTAACCTTCTGACAAGTTTCATCCAGATTCCTACCAATAGCCGAGCCCAGCCCAGACCGAGGCAACGGTACGCATGGAACTCAGCACCGTTGTTTTCGAGAGAGGACGAAGCATCAGGGCTGGCTGGTGTGGTTTGGTGTCCTGCTGGCGCAATGCAGACCACAGCAAGCGTGTAGGAGAGCAGAAAAGCATGCACCCCTCAAACTCCTCGCGCAGGGATAAACTGATAAAAGGGGCCTGTCCTAGGATTTAGCGCATTACCTGCATCGCAACAGATTACTACTTTTTGCCTCACACAAATTCATTTCTTTCGTTCCTGGTATTACTTGCCTGATAGAGCTGTCTCACCGCATTTGCGCCAGTCACTTTTATTCGACATCTCATTAACTCAGTTACACGCGTTGAGCACCATGGCAGTAAGTTCTCCCACGTCCATGCCGTCTTTGCTGAATCCTGATGCTCCTAATTTCGTCCCAGCTGCGTTTAGAAACACCGAGGATTTCAGTCAAGAATGGTGGGAGAAGGTGCAAAACTCCCCCGCGTTTAGAGACTACTGGCTTCGCGAGCGCTTCGCTACTTTGGAAGCTGAAGTAACCGAGTCAGGCAACCGCAACGAGGAGGAGGAGTTGGTAGACGAGCAATTACTGGAAGACATGGTTGATGAAGAGTTGGAAGAAGAGCTCTACGTACTGGACGTAGACGAAGATTTCGACGAGATTCTGCAAAATTCTTCTGCCGAACAGTTTCAAGAGTTGTTAGGTAAGCGTCATTTATACGCAACACTTCTTCCTACTTTCCTCGATTGTTATGGTCGTGGGTATGCTTCGTGTTTTCTTACTCTCACACTTCGTTATTTCCGTTCATGGAGATGGCAGGCAGTCGTGAAGAGCTTCCGGAGCGGTCGGGCGAGCCATTCGGCTTGACACAAGAGGTTACTAACAAGGTTAATAAGTCGTGGAAGCACGACCGCGTTAAGGAGAGAGCTGTTTCTAAGACTGTCGCCAAGCCTAGGCAGCAGCGGGGCCGGGTCATACAGCAACCTAGGGCTTAGATTGTTCGAAGAGAATGATATTCCTCTGGTGCTTCCATGTAAATGTTTGCTTCGTTTAGCTAGCTTAGCAGATACATGGGCGCTCCTAAAAGGGTAGACGCTCTTCCGGTTGTAATGTCCATGAATGTAAATTGCTCTTCCATGAAACCCTTGGACTCGTCACTCTACCCTTCCACACGTAGATGGGGGAGGCTGGTGGATGGAGAGGATTGGATGCTTTACAACGTCTATCTGGTGCTCTAATTTCGTACCCTACCCTGATTGGAGCATGACGTGCTCTTACCCGTATTGCAGATGTTCAAGTGCCAAGTATGTACGGACAGTCTGTGGACAGTCTGTACCAGTAATTTACATTCATGCATGCAATCAGGAAAGAGTTGGTCCCACTCAGCTCAGACTGTCACATAATTACATCCTTCACCGATTAAAAAAAGCCTTAATTGCCAGCATCCTCCAGAACAGGCTGCTGCCACAGACATGCCTGCTGTCCTACTCTTCCCCTCAAATCGAGCCCTTCCCTACTGACTTCCCCCAATCCGAATCTTCGACTTGCTCGCGTCTTCCAAAAACAGATTCTCCGCCGTCTCACTGTGGTACACACATGACACCTCCGGGGACTCCCTCAAATCGCCCACAAATCCAAACGTGTTCATGTTGCGCTTGCAGTCGCGCACTTCATCCGATGACACAAGGCCCTTGGACTCGAGCACGTGCCAGTTGCTCTGCCGCAGCACACACCCTGGTTTCACCTCTGCCTGGGACACATACACGTTGAAGCTGCAGAGGTAAGAGGGAAAGGGGGAAGGGGAAAGGGGGGAGGGGACAGGGGGAAAGAGGAGTTTGAGAGGAACGCACACACAGAACAAACACCCCGACTTCACCTCCGCCAGGGACGCATACACGTTGAATCTGTAGATGTAAGAGGGAAAGGGGGAAAGGGGAAAGGGGGGAAGGGGAAAGGGGGGAGGGGAAGAGCAGGGGACAGGGGAAAAGAGGAGTTTGAGAGGAACGCACACACAGAACAAACACCCCGACTTCACCTCCACCAGGGACGCATACACGTTGAATCTGTAGAGGTAAGAGGGAAAGGGGGGAAGGGGAAAGGCGGGAGGGGAAGAGCATTGGACAGGGGGAAAGAGGAGTCTGAGGGGAACGCACACACAGAACAAACACCCCGACTTCACCTCCGCCAGGGACGCATACACGTTGAAGCTGCAGGGCGGGGGAAGGGGACATGGGGGGCAGGGAGGCAGCTAGGGGACAGAGGAAGAAGGGGAATACGATACAAAGGCGTATACAGAGCAAGAACCCGGCTTCACCTTTGCTTGGAACACCTACACGTCAAAGCTCCAGTAGGGTCAGGGTAGGTGGGAGTATTGGAGGAGGCAGATGTTAAAGTTACCTGGTTACCACTTGGCTCGAGAACATAAAATACCCACTCACGGATTGAAGGAGATGAAGAGGCGCTGGTCCAGGACCATGGCGCTCATCCCGTTGGCGAGGCAGATGTCCGGGTTGGGCGTCTGGCGGTCGATGACCTCCCGCGACGCCACGTTGCTGGGCTCCACGTTCAGCACCGTGTCCACCGACACGCCCGCGCCTATCCCCAGTAAGAACACCCCCGCTAACGCGAACTTGCTCACCGCCGCGAACGGGTTCGACGACCGGGGGGGCGGCGGGGGAGAAGGAAGGGGAGGAGGGGGTGGAGAGCGCGGGGGAGGCGGGAAGGACTGGCGCGGTTGCGGGGGAGACGACCGGGGGAGTGCGGGAGTGGGCGGAGTGCGGGGTAGAGGGAGCGGGGGAATAGCGGAACGGGGGGACGGTGGGTAAGATTTTGCGGCGTCGATACTAGCTTCTGGGTCTTCGTCGCCTGTGTGGTAATTATAACGGTAACCAGATTTGCTACTTAGCGGGTCGAAATCATAATCTAGACCTTGACTGCTGCTAGTACCGCCAGTCGACAACCGCCACTCCCCCGACGACGACACCCAATCCCCCGCATTTCCACGCTGTTGCTCTCTCTCCCCCCGCGGGTATGTCTCTCCCAGCGGTTCTCTCTCTCCCGAAGGTTCTCCCCGTCCCCACGGGTCTCTCTCTCCCCGCGAGTCGATCTCTCCGCTTCCCACGCTCTCCGCCCCTTGCTCCTCCCCGCTCGGCCCTAAACTGGATGCGTTTGTCCTCGACGAAATCGCTGCAGCCACATCGTCTGATGGGACTTTCGTGGTTCTCCAGCTGCTCCCCCCGCTTGCGCGGACAGACCAGCGGAGAAACCGCGCGCGGAGTTCGGGGGTGCGCGGAACTGTCACAGAGAGGGGGGCAAGCAGAAGAGGAGAGAACGAGCAGGGGCGGAGGCGGCTCGAGCGGCGGGACGAGGAAGCAGTGCTGCGGTGGAGACAGGAGCTAACGCGGGAAACGCGGAGGGAGGGCGCTTGCGTGGTAGTTGCCATGAATGCGAAACGAGGAACCGCAAAGGACGAGAAGCATAGGTTGCGCGTGTGGATTATATCGAACCGAGAACTTAAAGCCCGCGGTCACCATGGTAAAGTTTCAAGTTATGTGGGTTTGAAATAGGCTGTAGGTGAGGGTGTGCGAAACCTATTTCGGTTGTGTGGCTTTGGCGAGAACTACAAACCTCCGCGAGCAGTTCGGCATTTCGTGCATACCAAACCTGCGATTCCCACCAACCCAAAGCGAAAAGTGGGTCGCATGAGGTGAAGAAGACAGCCAATCAGAAGGTTTCGCACACCCTCCCACTCTTACGACGCACAAGGAAAGTGAGGCTGCACTACAAGTGATGCCCACCCCATGCATGCGAATTAGCTCTGCACCGGATGGAAACGCTGCACCCGAGGTTTTTTCCCCAGCCTGTTGCACCCACGGTACAAGCGCGTCGTGTGGTTATGAACCAATTGTAACGAACAGACCGAAGTCAAACTGAAGAGACTGAAGTCAAAATGTCAACGGATAAGGTTACAGATCCTTTATATAAGCACCTCCGAATCCTTTTAAGCTAGCTGTGAATCGACGAAACTTATGCGAAATGCACGATACAGCTTATACGCCCCCTTCACAAGGCAACCGGGAGGGGCTCAATCAGGCATCATGTGTAGAAGTCTTTGCAAAACTGATTCAACTCGACTTTGCTCACGGGAAATAGAAAACCAGAGCTCCGCACGTCCTACTAACAACGCCACCTACTCAGACTGATGTCAGTAAAGAGATGCCGACAAAGGAAACGTTACGAGCCTCACCTCAGAATACTGGCTCAACGACCATGCTGTAGTGTAGTTCAGGCGTTACAACAGTCTAGAAGAGAGCGGACGCGATTCGGTCCCCTCGAATCGCCCACCGGGCGTGGAGCAGAGCGCTCAAAGGGCGAAGGAGCGGACCGCGCGAGTCCCTGGCACATGCACCGGGCGCCGAGAAGCACCCGCTCCAGGTATCTAGTAGCATCTCACGTTCCAGGCGACGCGCAGCCCGCGCACCGGGTGACGAGCAGCGCGCGCACCGGGTGACGAGCAGCGCGACGCAACGGAAATGACGAGCAGCCCGCGCACCGGGTGACGAGCAGCCCGCGCACCGTGTGACGAGCAGCCCGCGGACCGGGTGACGAGCAGCCCGCGCACCGGGTGACGAGCAGCCCGCGCACCGGGTGACGAGCAGCGCGCGCACCGGGTGACGAGCAGCCCGCGCACCGTGTGACGAGCAGCCCGCGCACCGGGTGACGAGCAGCCCGCGCACCGGATGCCGAGCAGCCCGCGTGACCGCGCGACTATCAGCGGTGGAGCCCGGGCGACGAGCAGCGCGAGGTGCTGGCGACGCGCAGCACACGCTCCTTTCCCCCCCTGCTTCCCCTCCTTTCCCCCCCTGCTTCCCCTCCTTTCCGCCCCTGCTTCCCCTCCTTTCCCCCCCTGCTTCCCCTCCTTTCCGCCCCTCCTTCCCCTCCTTTCTGCCCCTGCTTCCCCTCCTTTCCGCCCTCTCCTTCCCCTAATTTCTCCTTCTCATTTCCTTCATTGTCCCCCGCTGCTTGCCCTGTTCCTCTCCACCCCCTTACGCCCCTCCCTTCCCTCTCCTCCCTCTTCCAATCTCCTCCATTCCCTCTCCTCCCTCGTCCAATCTACTCCCTTCCCTTTCCTCCCTCCACCATTCTCCTCATCTCTCTTTCCCCCCTCATCCAATCTCCTCCCTTCCCTCTCCCATCTTCCCTGTCCCCCCAAATCCTTCTCTCCCCTTTTCTCCTCCTCCCCCGCTTCCGATCTCCTCCTACTTTTCACCCTGCTATACTCTTGTCCACCCCCCCGCTAGCCCCTTGCTTCCCCCCTGTTAGCCCCCTATTTCCTCCCTGCTAGTCCCTTGTTCCCTCCCTCATCCAATCTCCTCCCTTGCTCCCTTCCTGTCTTCCGCACCTCCTCCCTTCCTCTGTGTCCTGCATTTCCTCCCTTGCTTCCCCTCATTTCCGCCCCTGATTCCCCTCATTTTCGCCCCTGCGTCCCCTCATTTCCCCCCTGCTGTTCATTATGGTCCCCCCTGGCTTACCCTTCCTTTCCCCCGTGCTAGCCTTCCTCCCCCCTGCTCACCCTTCCTAACCCTCCAGCTTACCCTCTGCTTCTCCTCTCCTTTCTGTTTTTTCCTCAACAGCACCACAATGGACATCAATCCAGCCCTTTTGTTCTTGAGTGAAGCTCTTTGCACCTTGGTGGAACCAAATAGTGAAGCTCTATACAGTTGTACCGGCTTGTGTGTGGCATTAGTGTATCAATCAAACGATCTGACAGCATATTACAACAGTTCATTCTAGATTTCCAGCGCATGCGATAGCTTTGATGACGTAGATAACATCTGTAACTTGCAGACCTTACATCCATAGATAAAGCATTGTTACATGATGCAACTGGGCACATCACTGAGGTATGCAACTTGTGCAATATGGTGTACACATGTCAAGGTAAATGCGAGTATTGTCTTCTGTTCTAGCTGTTGAGGGTTCGCTCAACACTTTCTTGAGCCTGCTGCAACTCCCTTTACGCTGCATAGGGAGGGGGGAAGAAGGGCGGAGGGAGGGGGGAAGTAGGGCGGAGGGAGGGGGGAAGTAGGGCGGAGGGAGGGGGGAAGCAGGGCAGAGGGAGGGGGGAAGCAGGGCGGAGGGAGGGGGGAAGCGGGGCGGAGGGAGGGGGGAAGCAGGGCATAGGGATGGGGGAAGCAGGGCGGAGGGAGGGGGGAAGCAGGGCAGAGGAAGGGGGGAATCAGGGCAGAAGGATGGGGGAAGCATGGCAGAATGAGGGGGGAAGCAGGGCAGAGGGAGGGGGGAAGCAGGGCGGAGGGATGGGGGAAGCATGGCAGAAGGAGGGGGGAAGCAGGGCGGAGGGATGGGGGAAGCATGGCAGAAGGAGGGGGGAAGCAGGGCGGAGGAAGGGGGGAATCAGGGCAGAAGGATGGGGGGAGCATGGCAGAAGGAGGGGGGAAACAGGGGGGAGGGAGGGGGGAAGCAGGGCAGAGGGATGGGAGAAGCAGGGCGGGAGGGAAGGGGGAAGCAGGTGAGGTAAAGGAGAATAGATTGGGGGGTAAACAGAGCTGGTGGGAGAAAGAGAGATTGGTCAAAATAAAGAGGGGTGAAAACAATGAGGGGGAAGTGAAGTCGACGGGGAGAGGGAGTGAGGGAAGTACCCGCTCTCACCCTCTGTCTCTCAATCTCTGCCCCTCCCCCTCTGTTCCTCCCCCTCCGTCCTTCCCCTTCTGTCTCTCCCCGTCGGCCCTTCACCCTCTGTCTCTCCACCTGTGTCCTTCCCCCTCTGTCTTTCCCCATTTGTCCTTCCCCCTCTGTCTCTCCCCCTCTGTCCTCCCCCCTGTTCCTCCCCCCTCTGTCTCTCCCCTTCTGTCCTTCTCATCTCCCCCGCCCGCTCCCTTCCCGTCCCCCGCCCCCCCAATCATTCTTTCACTGTGACACCATCCCCGCCTCAGCTGTCCATCCCCATGTGTCCCTCCCGCTCTGACCCTCACATCAGTATGCACTCACTGCAGCTGGAAGGAGAGGGCGTATGGGGGAGTTGCTACACACGATGGTGTCGATGGCGACGCGGGTAGTGGCGATAAGGACAAACGCTTCCCAATTGGGGTGGCGGAGGCGACGACGGGAGGCGAGGGGATCGAGGAGCAACTGGGGCAACGACACATGCGCGTGACGTCGGCTTCAGCTAGTGATATACGGAAGATCGCGAGTGATGGTTGAGCGCGTGACGAGGGGAGGAGTGCGCGTAACGGGTGGAAGCGCGCGTAACGAGGGGAGGATAGCGCGTAACGAGGGGAAACGCGTGTGACGAGGGAAGGAGAGCGTGCAACGAGGGGAAGCGCGCGTGACGAGAAGGCACGTGCGCGACGCAACGGAAATGCGTGTGACGAAGGGAATCGCGCGTGACGAAGGGAAACGCGCGTGACGAAGCGTCACGCGGGTGACTAAGGGTGGCGCATGACGAGGCGAAGCACGGAATCCCGGGCAGGCGCGAGTGACGAGGGTAGGCGCGAGTGACGAGGACAGGCGCGGGTGGCGAGGGGGAGCGCGGGTGACGTCGCGCGCTAAACGAGGGGTAGCATTGTGAAGCACTCGTTTGTGACTCACGTTCCGTGTGAGTAACGCGAAAATGTATGTAAATATCGTGTGTCCAGCTATTGGCGAGACAGCATGAGTGACGCCAGTTGCCGTAAAAAACGCGGTTAGGGGAACTAGCTGATGCCTGGCTTTCAAATACGCGAGGGACTAGGCCGATCATGAGTACTACTAGGTGTTCAAGATATGTGAGAGCCAAAGAGTGGGCCAACCTGAGCGACGTTTGGTTCTGTTTTGCGATGGTGCACAAAAGCCAATGAGCGTAGAGTGTCGCTAGGCGTTGTCCCAGAGTCGCGAGAGTTTCCTCAAACAAAGTAGGGTAACCCTGTTTTTTACGATTTCAAGTTCAAGAATCTTGAACTTGAAAATAACATGCTGTACTCGGGCTTTAACGAACCGAGCAGAGTCGATCGAAATTCGAGAAAGAGGTGCCGTGTGCTACACGTCTGCTGGATGGATCCTGACCTGACTGCGGAGCCCCACAATCTGCAAACGAGTCAATTTTGCAGCTGCTACACTCGGTTCTACGCTGGAAAAAGGAAAACGAATTCGCATGCAACATAATTTCTGGTAAAATTCCTTAGGATATATTTCAAGTCTGAAAATGTTGCAATTCACTTGGAGAACTATGTTCCTCCCCAGCGTTTTCAGTATTTGCTGTGTTATGTGATCAGTAAGTGCAGTCAACAGGATAAATCGGATTGGTTGGTGCACATATCATTTCTACAAACCGACTAGCAAAACACTGAATGCACAATATGTCATTCAAACCCATAAGTGCATAACACACACAGCACCTTTGGGGAACAAACAAACACCAATGTGCAAAGCAAGTTTAATAAAACCAGGCAAAACAATCAAGCCAAACCAAACCAACCCTCAATGCACAAACAAGCACACACATCCTCATAATCCACCGTGTGGGAAAGCTGACTGCAGCACAGCTCGCATGACAAGGAGAACACAGCTCGCATGACATCATCTTCACCAGCAGCAGCAGCAGACGCAGCAGCAGTAACAGCAACAACAGCAGCAGCAGTAACAGCAACAACAGCAGCAGCAGTCAGCAATCCCACATGGCGGCTTTAGCTAGGCCACTCAGGCGCAAACAAATCAAATAGCCCCAAGCAATGCGCCCTAAGTCAGCATTTGCTGACCATGCAAAGGCCCTCCGGAGCACCCTCCTTTGATGAATCCCTGCCAGACACAGCCAAAGCTGGCCCAGCAGCAGCAGACGCCACCGCAGCTGAAGAGGAGGCAGCATTGAGGGTGGAGCGGTTGTATTTGAGGTGCGCCTGCACGAGGTGGCCCGAGGCGAGGGCGGAGCAGAGAGAAAGCTCCCCCGCCAGCACTGCTGCCGCCACCACCCGCGCCAGCTGCTGTGCGTTCGCCCCTGGCTGCGTGCTGTGGGACCCCTTCACGCCTAGCAGGGATAGGGCAGCCGCCTGGGAGAGCGGAAGGTGAGAAGAGAGAGCGGGAAGAGGGGAGTAAGGCCGATGTTGAGGCGGGATAGCTGAAGATGCATAATGACACGACAATGACCCGATAGTGACCGCCACGCCACTGCCCGGTGCTTGGTGCACCGTGCACACCTTTCATTCTAAATTGCGAAAGACACAAGGAGGGAAACGGCCTGCTCACCTGCGGGGCAAGGAAGGTTCCTCCGCCAACGGTGCCGACTTCAATAGCAGGCAGCGTGACGGAGGCGTGCAGGTCGGCCCCATCATTGGCCGCCTCGAGCAGCGTGAGGCACTGCGAGCTCTCCACGTTCTGCGCGGGGTCCTGCCCCGTGGCCAGGAACACGGCCGTCACGATGTTGCTCGCGTGCGCGTTGCAGCCGCCCACCGCGCCCGCCAGGGCTGAGCCGACGAGGTTCTTTGTCGTGTTCAGCTCCACCAGGGCGGCAACTGTTGTCTTGAGCACCGACTCGACCTGTAGGGGCGGCATGAGGGAGCAGGGAGGGAAGTAGCGGGAACACCGAGGGGTGTGGAACGGTTGAGGCATGGTCAATCCCACCAGGTTCCTGATCGTGAGCGGAAAGAGGGAAGAAAAAGATGAGTGAAAGAAGGGGGACGCGAGTGCAGTCAAATAAAAAAATTGGGGGGGGAAAAAAAAAACAGACGTACCACGCGGCCGGGGATGGTGACTTCGCAGACGACGGATTTGCCGCGCCCCTTGATCCAGTTCACAGCAGTGGCCTTCTTATCCGCGCAGTAGTTGCCCGACATGCTGACCACGCGCATGTCCGGGAAATGCGCGCCGAGCACGCCCAGCACGTTCCCCGTGCCTTTCGAAACCATGTTCATGCCCATCGCGTCGCCCGTGCTGCTCTCCACGCGGATGAACGCGTTGCGCCCCGCCACCGCCACGCTTAGGGTTTGCAGGCGCGCGAAGCGGCTGCTGCTGTTGAAGGCGTCCGCGAGGAGCGCCCAGTTGCGCGGGTTCTCCGCGAAGGCTTTTAGTTCCGCCGCGCGGAGCGCGGAGGGGAGCTGCACGGCGGGCGCGCGGGTCATGCCGTCGCGCAGCACGACGCTGCGCGCGCCGCCCGCGGCGCAGATGGCCTTGCAGCCGCGGTTGGTGCTGGCGACGAGGCAGCCTTCGGTCGTCGCCATGGGTACGAAGAACTCCGCGTCGTCGAGTCGCAGAGGGCCTGCGACGCCGACGGGGATCGTCACGTGGCCGACGACCATCTCGCAGCACGCGCCGCGGATCGCGTCGTAGTCGTAGTTCTCGAGGGGCAGCCCCGCGAGCGAGCGGCCTGTTTTGATCTCCACGGCGCGCCGGCGGACCGCGGCGGCGCGGAGAGTGTTGCCGAGTTGGGTTTCGAGGGAATGCATGGGGATGGCGCCGCGCGCGACGGCGCGCGCAATGTCGTCGTCCGGGAGGTCCTGTAACGGGATGTCTGGTAGCGAGGACGAACTGTCGAGCTTGAAAGTGCAGGACTTGGGCGCCGCGGGAGCAGGCGCGCTTGAAGCGGATGTGATTGTAGCGAGGGTGGCAGTGGCGGAGGTGGCAGTGGAGGGGTTGGTAGTAGCGGGGGTGGCAGTAACGGGAGTTGGGATCGGTTCGGGCTTATACCAGGGCTCCGGTTGATGGGGGGCATAGTGCCCGCGCGAATGGTTGCGCCGATGGTTGCGCCTGTGGCGGGAAAGCAGCTCCTTTGGGTCTTTCTCCTCCTCTTCCTCATCTTCCCCCTCCTCGTCATCGTCCTCCTCTTCTCTCTCCTTCGCATCCTCCTCCTCGGAAAGCATGCTCTGCTCGATGGCCGACTGAACGAATCCGACCCCGAAGAAGTTTATAAGGTAAATGAAGGAGCCCATACCGAGGCAGACGGCGACGAGATCGCGCCACAGCAGCTCGTGAAGCTTCTCCGAAGAGTAGAGCTGCTCGCGCCATTGCTGGAGGAGGTAGCAGCAGGAGAAGATAAATGTGAGCAAAAAGACAGTGTTTGTGAGCCAGAGCGGCAGCGGAAGCACGTCGGATGCCAGAGTCCTTCGGCGAAGCTTCTTCGGGCTGCTGGCGTCGTCGCTGTCGGCGTAATGTGAGATCAAATCGCCGGGACGCGAGTGGCCCCTATAAGTTAGGTATGGGTGTGCTGCTGGGTCCATGTTTAGGATACTGCAACGTAAGGTAAGAAAGGGGTCTGTTGACGGTACTCCTAATTAGGGTACGGCAAGGTAAGATAAGGAGCGAGTCTGCGGGAGATTCACGTGTTTAGGATAAAGAAAAAAAGCGGATATGGTCTATGAATGGTGTATGGTTGATGATGCCCCGGATCTGAGGAATAAGCTCGAATTTCCAGAATAGGAAGACTGCGAAGGTTCGAGGTATGGTGATGACGCCGCTACCCACTGCGGCAGTCTGCGAAGGCTTGACTGTGCCGCGTGGTAATAGGGCTGCGGTAATGAATGCGGAGGTCTGCAAATCCGCAAGCAAAACGTGTATGGCTTGGATGGAGCGGACGGGGTGTGGATGGGTGGGTAAAGGTGGTGGATCGGGGGTCTCAGGAAACTCGACTGGAGGCAGAAGTATGGATCCAACTACCTACGGTTTTTGGTGCGCACTGATACTAGTTGCTGGTGGCATGCCGTGAGGGAAGATATGGCGAGTCTACGGGCGCGTTCGTGATTGTCTCAGTCTTCGGGTCTGTAAAAAAAATATGAACCTGGGGGCGCCAAATTATTGGATCTACAAAAAAGGGGGGAAAGTTGGAAGTTCCGAAGCGTGGGCGAGACTGAAGGTGGAAACAAAAAATGTCACGGATTCACTAGGATTTGTTCAGTACACGCCCTCAACGCTTTTAATCCGTCCTGGGCATGGTAGGCGCCTGTGTGCGACGGAGATCGAGGGTCGAGAGCGAAAACAGACGAGACCAGCGGCGAGGTGGAAGGAAGATTGCACCGCAGAATTCCGGCGATTTCCTTTGGTTGGAAGATTTTCTAGGAACTAGGGGTCGGTGGATCCCCAGTGGTTCGATTCGAGGGCTACACAAGCCTCAGAACGCGTCAACACGTTGATCCCCAACACCGAACCTGCACAGGTTCGTAGTATTTTTTGCGGGGTTCAAACATTTTCTAGACGTTTCAGTCCGGTGGCGAATAAATCTAACGAGGTCTAGAGCTGGGACCGCACTGAACCTCTCTAAAATAACGAACCTGCGTAGGTTCGGTGCTGAGGTCTGCGCGTAGGTGACGTAACCTCCATTCAAGGGCCGAGATTTGGAACCTATTTAGACGGTTAGATGTACAGTATCCCGCTATATGTATATACGTTCAGGTTATTTAATGGCAGGCCTCTCTTGTATTCGCACACTAGTACGCGCGAGAGAAGAGACTGAAAATAATATATAAAATCATATAATTTTTATTTTATGTATCCGTTGGATGACTTATGGATGTATGGAGTCTGTTTGTAGTACTTATTTAACTTGTAGCCTTTTTGTTAATGTGGGCAGAGTTAGTTCTCTATTGTACTCTTACCGAGTTACCCCCTGTCAAAGACTCCTACGAGCGAGTAGTCGTTTCAGGATAATACCTGACCTGGGCTCTAGCCTCTGGTTCCCGCGAACCTGTACGGCAGGTACAGCACATTTTGCGCCGTAGGCGCAGCAGCTTGCCTCTCCGATTCCGCGACCGGGAATCTAACGGTCGGCCGCAATCCACGCTTTACCTAGTCACCTTGCAGCGCTAGTAGTGGTCAAACACTCTCGATCTGCTCGTGGTTCTCGTGGAGGCCCATTCTAGTGTTTTCAAGTACGTCCTTTCGTGGCTAATAGCATGCGAGGTGGTTTACTGTAGCCATGTCGACTCGCATGGTCCGTCGTTTACTGGAGCAGCAGCAGCGCGAGGCGGAAAGCGTGAAGCTAAAGGCGGCTTCCGGCGCTGAGCGCGCCGAGGCCGCGGAGGGGGGAGGGGGGAGAGCGGAGGAAGGGGATAGGGAGGAAGGAGAGGAGAGGGAGGACGAGGAGGAGGAAGAGGAGGAGGAGGAGGATGAGGTTGATTCGAAACTGATAGCGGCTGCGCGGAATGCGTTCGACCTTCTAGACATGGATGTACGTGCTGTGTGCTGGGTCGCAATTGTGGCTTGGTGCGATGGCTTGTGCGACGGCGTGTGCAACAGGATTTGCGACAGCCTGAGCGATTGAGTGACAGCTTGAGCGACAGCTTGTTGTGTGGAAGCTTTGTCCTTTCGTGGCTACTCGCGAGCCAGTATGCTGGGGACAACAGTATGCGATTAGCCACGAAAGGAGATCGCAAGCTTTGTCCTTTCGTTGTCCCCTGCCTCTCCGATCTCGTTCATCATTGGAGATGAACGCAGGAGTACAGCACGAGACGAGCGACCCCCAACCTGCTTCCTTTGCTTATCACTCACAGTTTTGACACCTCTTGCACCAAGCGATAATAACCACAACCTGCTTCCTTTGTGCCTTTTGATTCGACCCAAAAGTCGTCTCGTATCGTATCTCATCAGAGTAATGCGCGAGATCGGCCAACCCCAAGCTCCTTCCCTTGTTCATTTGCTCCAGGGTCCCGTGTTTGGTTCTCTTCCTTCGGTTTCCTTGCTGGCAGGGCGAGGGAGAGACGGAGGTAGGCGAGGAGGAGGAGGAAGCGGAGGGAAAGGGGAGCATTGCAGGTGGTGGCGAGAGCAGAGATGCGAAGGGGCAGCAGAAGGAGGAGGGTGTGGAGGAAGAGGAGGAGGTTGAAGGGGAGGAGGAGGCGGAGGAGGAAGAGGAGGAGCGTAGACGGATGGAGAGGCAACGGAAGAGTGGCAAGAAGAAAAAGAAGGGGAAGGGGAAGAAGAAGGGGGGAGGGGGAGGAGGGGGAGGAGAGGATGCAGGAGTAGGAGGAAAGCAGAGAAACTCAGGTCTAGGAGGGGGGGGGGAAGACACTGAAATAGAGCGCGCTTTGGCTGCAATCGAGGGCCAAGCAGCAGTAGTTGCAGCACCCTCAGCAGCACCAGCAGCAGCAGGGGATCCTATGACGTCAGCAGCGGCGGTAGCAGGGGGTCCTGTGACGTCAGCGCGGCCGCTTCTAGCGGTGGAAACCCGGCTCCTGCGAGCAGACGATGAGCTGAAGCGCATCTTTGGCTCCAAGGTGATCCGGCAGGTGGAGCGGCAAGCAGGGGGAGGAGAAGGAGGCGCAGGAGGAGCAGGAGGAGCAGGAGGAGGGATGGGTGTGAGGGGAGGTGTGCGGGGGAGGCGTGGAGGAGGAGGGGGAGGGGGAGGGAGTGTGGGGAGGAGGGCGCTGCTGGTGCAGGAGAGGGAGCACTGGCCGCCAGGGGCAGTGGCGGAGAAGGGGCTTACCATGGAGTTTGTGTGCGAAAGGAAGGGCGCAGGCACTGCCGCCGCCCCTGCTGCTGCTGCTGCTGCTGCTGCTGCTGCTACGTCTAGTGCCGCTGCTGCTAGTGATGCTGCAGGGGGCGTGGGTGGGGGGGTATCTGCGGCGTTCCCTGCGCTCCCCGTGCGTGTGTTTCGCTACGTGCGGTCGGCCACGTACCGCGCGGCGCAGCACCTGTTTGAGCAGACGGTGGCATCGCATGACCCCAACCAGCTGGGGCTGTTCGTGGCGCACCACCCCTACCACGTGGAGGGGCTGTTGGCGCTCTCAGAGGTGTACAAGCAGGTGGGTGGGATGATGCGCTTGTATGGGGTGATGCCTTTGCGTGGGGGAGACTGTCTCAGCAGCTAGCAGCATGCAGGTTTGAGCAGACCGTGGCATCGCACCACCCCAACCAGCTGGGGTTCTTCGTGGCACACCACCCCTGCGACGTGGAGGGGCTGTTGGTTCTTTCTGAGGTGTACAAGCAGGTCAGGAGGTCGGTGGCAGGAAGAGGAAACTTCCTATGATATTAACCAGGAGACTCTCTGTTTGTGTTTGGCCCACCACCCGTACCACGTGGAGGGGTTGTTGGCGCTATCAGAGGTGTACAAGCAGGTGAGGTGTGTGTGGGTGATGATGCTTGCCTGGTGTGAGTGCGAATTGTGACCACGTGTAAAAAGAGTACCCTTGAGACATCTCAAAAGTACTCTTTTTACACGTGGCTTCTCTCTTTCGCGAATTGTGATAGCAGCAAGCAGCACCTGTTTGTGTCACATACCACATGTCACATGCCCTTGCCATGTCACATGCCCTTGCCATGTCACCTTCTTATTGCTGGAATCCGCCCATACCACTGCCTCCCATGTTACTGCATGCCCATCTGCCTCCTCCTCCTCCTCCTCCTCCTCCTCCTCCTCCTCCTCCTCCTCCTCCTCCTCCTCCTCCTCCTCCTCCTCCTCCTCCTCATCCTCCTCCTCCTCCTCCTCCTCCTCCTCCTCCTCCTCCTCCTCCTCCTCCTCCTCCTCCTCCTCCTCCTCCACATCCTCCTCCTCCTCCTCCTCCTCCTCCTCTTCCTCCTCCTCCTCCTCCTCCTCCTCCTCCTCCTCCTCCTCCTCCTCCTCCTCCTCCTCCTCCTCCTCCTCCTCCTCCTCCTCCTCCTTCTCCTCCCTCTCCTCCACTGCCCATTCTGATACATGCGTCATATGCATCCTTCAATATCGCCCCCTGTCTCTTTCTCGTGCCAGGTGGGAGAGGTGCAGACGTCAGCAGACCTCCTTGAGCGAGCGCTCTTCCTGCTGGAGGCACCCTGCGCCACATGCTTTCATGCTAGTGCATGCTCATCTCTTTCCCAACGCCCCTTGCTCTTCCCCAATGCCCCCTGTGTTAGGTGGGCGAGGTGCAGACGTCAGCAGACCTCCTTGAGCGGGCGCTCTTCCTGCTGGAGGCAGCATGGCATCCCTGGTTCAACCCCTCGTTGGGAACTTGCCGGTGAGTGTATATGATGGTTACTCTGCTCTCTGACGGTGCGTATGTGTGTGTGTGAGTATGGTGGAGCGCTCATTGCCGCTCTTCCTGCTCTGGGGACCTGCCGGTGAGAGTGCGCGACGCTGTGTGTGTACATGACGGTGCATGCATGCGTGTGTGTGCATGACGGTGCATGCATGCGTGTGTGTGCATGACGGTGCATGCATGCGTGTGTGTACATGACGGTGCATGCATGCGTGTGTGTACATGACGGTGCATGCATGCGTGTGTGTGCATGACGGTACATGCATGTGTGTGTGTGCATGACGGTGCATGCATGCGTGTGTGTGCATGACGGTGCATGCATGCGTGTGTGTACATGACGGTGCATGCATGCGTGTGTGTGCATGACGGTGCATGCATGCGTGTGTGTGCATGACGGTGCATGCATGCGTGTGTGTGCATGCCTGAGTGCTCATTGGCGCTCTTCCTGCTGGAGGCGGCGTGACATCCCTGGTTAAACCCCTCGCTGGGGACCTGCCGGTGCGTCAGTCAGTGTGTGCATGGTTGGCTATTCCTTGACTCTCTTTCCATTAGCATGCCATCTTTTATTTGTCTCACTCCTCTGCCCGTTTTCCCTTTCCTTCCGCTGCCATCCCTCCCACTTGCTGCCATTCTTCCCACTTGCTGCCATTCCTCCCACTTGCTGCCATTCTCTTTCCATTGCCCCCCCATACCAGCCTGGAATTCGCCCACGAGCCCAACAGGGCGCTCTTCGATGCTCTCTTTTTCTGCCACATGCACCACGTGGTCACAGGGGCTGCCATTCTCATCCAATCAAGCGCCATATGCCGCCTGTCCCCTTCCATTTTTCCTTTCTCATTCCCCCCCTTGCCAGCCTGGAATTCGGCCACAAGCCCAATCGATCCCTCTTCGATGCGCTCTTCTGTCACATGCACCACGTGGGTCGCAGGGGGCTGCATGGAGTTGTCATTTTCGTCTCCTTTGTGCGCCCTTCACCCCCTCTCTTCCTACCCTTCTCTTCTCCCTCTACCATCAGCCTGGAGTTTTCCCACGACCCCAACATGGCGCTCTTCGATGCTCTCTTCTTCCGTCACATGCACCACGTGGGTCGCAGGGGCAGCTAGTCTCACCTTACCCTTTTCCCTCCACCTCTTTTCCCTGCCATCCGCCTCTGTACCAGCCTGGATTTCGCCCACGAGCCCAATCGAGCGCTCTTCGATGCTCTCTTCCGTCACATGCACCACGTGGGTCGCAGGGGGTGCCACCGCGCTGCCTTTGAGCTATGTCGCCTGCTGCTCTCCCTCGATCCCGACACCGACCCTCTTGGCGCTCTCCAGGTGGGTGGCTGTGGCTGGCCTTTTACTCTGCTGTGTGCTGTCCGCCTGCCCGCCTGCCTTCCTACCCTAGAGGAGTCGCAGGGGCTGCCACTGCGCTGCCTTTGAGCTGAGCTCTGCCTGCCGCCTGCTGCTCTCACTTGGTCCGGACACCGACCCCCTCGGTGCTCTGCAGGTGAGATCCCATACTTCTGAGTGATGCAGTGCAGTCGCTTTTGAGAATTCTCAAAAGTGAGTTTTCATACTCCTGAGCGATGCAATGCAGTGCAGTGCAGTGCAATGAAGTGATTTGCAGTGCAGTGCCGTGCAGTGCCGTGCAGTGCAGTGCAGTGCAGTGCAGTGCAGTGCAGTGCAGTGCAGTGTTTGTGCAGTGCCTACAGGGTGTGGTCTCTGTCTGCCTGCCTACCATCAGGGCGCACCAGTTCACCTGGCTGCACGACTTTGGTGCACTTTCTCCTCTACGCTCCTTCCTTCTGCCCAACCCCACCCCACCCCATCCCCCCACCCTTGCCCCCCTCCCTTTACCCATCAGTGCTTCGACTTCTACGTTCTCACAGCACGCCATTTCACCTCCTTTCCCTGCCTCCCCCATCCCCCCTTCTCCCCTTCCCTCCATTCCCACCCCCGCACCCATCCCCACCTGCACTGCACCCACCCATCAGTGCGTCAACTTATATGCCCTCCTCTCCCTGCCTCCACCCTTTCCCCCACCCTACCCCGTCCCCCTTTCCCCCACCGTACCCGCCCCGCCAGTGCATCGACTTCTGTGCCCTCAGGGCGCGTCAGTCCTCCTGGCTGCACGTTTTCAGTTCGCTGTCTTCTCAATGCTCCTCCATTCCGCCGTCCACCCCACCCCCACCCCCACCCCCACCCTCTCTTACCCCCACCCTCTCTTACCCCCACCCTCTCTTACCCCCACCCTCTCTTACCCCCACCCTCTCTTACACCCACCCTCTCTTACCCCCACCCTCTCTTACCCCCACCCTCTCTTACCCCCACCCTCTCTTAACCCCACCCTCTCTTACCCCCACCCTCTCTTACCCCCACCCTCTCGTACCCCCACCCTCTCTTACCCCCACCCTCTCTTACCCCCACCCTCTCTTACCCCCACCCTCTCTTACCCCCACCCTCTCTTACCCCCACCCTCTCTTGTCCTGACCCTCTCTTAACCCCACCCCCACCCTCCCTCTTTTTACCCATCAGTGCATAGACTTCTACGCCCTCAGGCCGCGCCAGTTCACCTTCACTGACGCCCCACTCTCCCTTCTCTCGTTTCTCACCTTCTCCCCACGTGTTTCTTCCCCCACCGGTCAGTGCATTGACTTCTACGCCCTCAGAGCACGCCAGTTCACCTGGCTGCACGATTTCGTGGACCAATGGGGGGGTGACACGTCACTGGCTGTGCTGCCCAACTTCTGCTTCGCCCTGGCCCAGGCGAGGCTGGGGGAGGCCGAGGGGGATGGAGAGGGGGAGAGGGGGGAGGGGAGTGGGGAGGCGGCCAATGGCGCGTCGCCAGCTGGCAGGAACCGTGCCGCTGCCGCTGCTGCTGCTGCTGCTGCTGCCGCTGCTGCTGCTGCTCCTGACGCCGCGTCTCTCCTGCGCGATGCCCTCTTCCTGCACCCGTACGTCTCATGCCCTCATCTCCACCGTTCCTCCTGTCCTCTTAATCATCTAGTGGTGAGGTGTGAACCTCCCCTCCTCCCCTCCTCCCCTCCTCCCCTCCTCGTCTTATTCCCACCAGTTACGTCCCCAAGGGCCTCTTGAAAAATACTCATCCTCCTAGATATCACGCACCCGCTGTTCGCGAGAGCAACCCCTCCTCTCTTCCTCCCTCCTCTCCTCCTCCTTCCTTCCACCAGGTACGTGCTGAAGGGGTTAGTAGAAAAGGCCCCGATCAAGACCGACGCATCCTGGACGTCCATTCTCAAGCACCCACTATTCGCGAGGACAACACCTGGCAGCGCGTCATTGGAGCATCTGGTGCGGCTGTACGTGGAGCGCAGTGCCGTGCTGTGGCGGGGGGAGGGCGTGCAGGCGCTGCTGAAGCGCGTGGCGGGGGAGGTGGTGGCGACGGTGGAGAGGGAGAGGCGGGAGGGCCGCGGGGACGGGGAGATGGAGAGCTGGCAGTGCGTGCGGGAGGTGTCGTTTCCGTCAGGATTGAACGCGTGAGTGCTGGTTTCTAAACTTGTAGGCATTCTGTGCTGGGTTGGTGGGTTGGGATTAGCCTTTGCAGAGGGAGAGGCAGGAGGGCGTTGGGGATGGGGAGATGGAGAGCTGGAAGTGCGTCCGGGAGGTGTCTTTTCCGTTCAGATTTCATGGATTAAGGGCTGAGCTTGGGAGATTGAGGGCACTAATTGCTTGTGCCCGTTGCGTTCATCTCACGTGTCACTTTTCATTCATTAGCTGCATGTGTTCTGCCGTTCGCCTTTCGTTCACCTCCCTCCTTTCCCCCACCGTCAATCATAGCACTCACAGGTACCGCCACTCTCCTTCTTGACTTCATGTCTTACGCCGTTCTCATTTCGCCCTACGCATCTCTCCTTACCCACCCGCTACGCCCCTCTCCTTTCTCTTTCCCCGCTCTCCACTCTCACGCCTCCCTCGCCCCCCCCTCCGTCAATCATGACGCTCACAGATACCGCCACCTTCTGCTATCCGATTTCTCCGATGCCGCCCCGACTCTGCCGCCCGAGGAGCTCATGGCGATGCAACAAGACGAAGCCGGCCGGCAGCGCCGCCCGGGAGCCCACGGTCTCGGCTTCTTGATTGGTGCAGGCGCTGGCGCTGCTGGTGGGGGCGGGGGAGGCGGAGGGGGAGGAGGAGGGGGAATGGGTGCAGGGGCAGGGGGAGGAGGGGCAAGGCAGGGGCAGGGGCAGCAGGTGGATCTAGCAGGGAGGAACCCTCTGATGGTGTTTCTAGAGGCGATGCTGCCATGGAACGACTTTGGGGGAGCGGGAGGTGCGGCAGGGATGGGGGCAGGGGTGGGGATGAATGGGGAGGCGCAGCAGGCGGCTCTGGCTGCTGCTGTTGCTGCTGCTGGTGATGGGGAGGAGGATGAGGATGAGGATGATGGTGATGACGATGACATCGAGGAGCTTGAAATGGAGGAGAGGCGATAGGATATAGGCGATTGGGTTAGTGGACTGAAAGCATGGTGATGGGAGGGCGGAGGAGGAAGAAATACGTAGAAGAGATTGAGATGGAGGGGAGAGGTGATAGGGAGCTGGAGATGAAAACGGAAGCCTGGTTGATGTGATAGCATAGGGGTGAGGATGATGATGGGGAAGAGGGTGAGGATGGTGGGGAAGGGGAGGAGATGTGGCGCACACATGGCTGGATGGATGGTGGGCATCTAAGAATAAATGATTGTCTGATGGGCGTTTGTGAAGAAATTATTGCAAGCCCCATGTTGAGCCTTATTTCAAGTGGATTACTGGTAACAATATTGTGAGTGTTTGAGGCATTTACGGTAATAATATGTTTCTTTTAGAAGTGAGAAGGAAGAAACGTGGAAATTTCCTACTACACAAAAGCAAGCTTAAGTTGAGTCCCTGCAAGTTTAATTTGTTGAGTGTATTGTTGACAAGAACAGAGAAGCTTGTATTGGGTACTCCGACAGTGATATGTGATACTCGTTCGAATTCACCACTCTATCGACGCGAGTCGATGTACTCACTGTGCCAACTTAGCGAAGACAACTGTAGCGAAGCAAGTTCATCTCTGCACACCTGCACACTCCGTCGACGCCTGTTCATCCTGGTAGCGCCGTGGCGAACCGCCTGTGCCGCATGTCGTAGTAATAGCGCCATGCTTTGAATCGATTCGCTCGTCGTCGACCCCGCAGGGTCCATTCTCGCAGCGCCATGGCGGACCGCCTGTGCCACATGTCCGTCGGCGACAGCGTCCAGCTGGCGTGCCGTGATTCGCTGCTGCCGTTCCTGCAGCAGGAGGCGCGCGCAGCGGGCGCAGGGGGAAGCGGTGGCGGGGGAGGCGGGGCGGGGTCGGACGGGGGAGAGGTGAAGCTTCTGGAAGTGGACGAGTCGATGCTGGCAGAGTTGCTGCGCGACGGGTGAGGGGGTGCGATTCGTGTGGGGTGTGTGTGTGGCGCGTGGCGTTGAGGGTACGATGTGCTGATGCGTTGGCATGAGGGAGTTGGTGATTCCTTCTGGAAGTGGACGAGTCGATGCTGGCAAAGCTGCTGACCGACGGGTGAGAGGGGGTTGGGGTTAATGGTATGGTATGGGGTGTGTTGTGTTGTGTGGCGTACGGGTTAGCAGGAGAGTGGGGGGGAGGGGGGAGTGATAGCTCCTGGGAGTGGACGAGTCGATGCTGGCAGAGTTGCTGAGCGACGGGTGAGAGGGGGCGGGTGGATGTGTGAGGGGGCCGAGTCGTGGGTGACTGCGATGTGATGATGCCATGGGATGGGAAAATTAGTGATTTTTCTTCTGGCCGGGTCCGGCTGAAGCTGGCTTCTGGGAGTGGCTGAGTCGATGCTGGCGGAGTTGCTGTGCGACGAGTGAGGCGGGGAGAGTGTGGGTGGGGAGTGCGTGTGGGGGTGCGGTGCGCTGACGCATTGCCACGGGCGACTTAGTCATTCCATCTGGGAGTGGGCGAGTCGATGCTGGCGGAGTTGCTGTGCGACTGGTGAGGCGGGGAGAGTGATGAGGGGGGTGCGTTGTGTGGCGTGTGGCTTACAAGGAGAGTGCGGAGTGTGTGTGGGGGGGGGAAGGGGGGGGGGGGGGGGGGGGGGGAGGATGTCCTTGATATCTATTGGTAGTGGGCGAGTCGATGCTAGCAGAGTTGCTGAGCGATGGGTGAAGGGGGGTGGGCGGTCGAACAATGTGGGTGGACGGGTAAGGCGGGGCGAGTGGTATGGTGTGTGTGTTGTTGTGACGTATGGCTCGCAACAAGGAGAGTGCGGGGGTGAATGATAGCTTCCGGAAGTGAAGGAGGCGATGCTGCTGGGGGTGAGCTGCTGCACGACGGGTGAGACGGGGTGACTTTTGAGTCGACTCGAAAGGAGCAGATGCTGGGTGAACTGCTGTGCGACAGGTATGGTGATGCGGGGATCATGGCAGGCAGGCAGAGTGGTGCTGGTTGTGTTGTGCGGAGTTGTGGGTGCTGCTGTTGTTGATGCCGCGAGTGCAACGGAGAATCAGTGACTACCTCTTGCCGCTTCTTACCGCTTCTAACCGGTTCTTACCGCTCCTGGAAGTGCGCGAGTCGATGCTGGCGGAACCTGCTGCGCCTAGGGTGGGGGGGGGGGGGGGGGGGGCGGGGGAGTGTGTGGTGTGTTGCGTGTGAGTGGGACGGGGCGAGTCGTGGCCGTGGGTGACTTTTGAGACGTCTCAAAAGTAGGGTGAGGGGGGGCGAGTGTGTGGCGTGTGGCGTATGGTTGGGATGGGGCGACTTTTGAGGCGCCTCAAAAGTCCAGTGTGTGGCGTATGATTGGGACGTGGCGACTTTTGAGGCGCCTCAAAAGTCGAGTGTGTGGCGTGCGATTGGGACGGGGCGAGTCGTGGCCGTGGGTGACTGCGGGTGTGATGATGCCACGGCATGGGAAAATCAGTTACTGCTTCTGGCCATTTTCCTGCCATGGGAGAATCAGTGTGGTGGATGGGTGCGGATGGGTGCAGATGGACGTGGATGGTATAGGATGGGTATGGACGAGTGTGTATGGCTGTATGGGTGTATGCTTTTCCAGAACAACAGTAGGAGGTTCTGATTGCATTGTGACTAGTTGGTATGTGACCTACCATTCTCACACTCCACCCTGGCTATTTACCAACCTTTTCCTTGTTCTCGCCTTAATCTAACCACCTGTTGTCTATTTGCTACATCTTGTTCCGTGCAAGATGAAATCACAGGCTGGTTATAAAGGGTACACCGGAGGAGGGGGACGAGGCAGTTCTCTGTACTCGCAGCAGCACCTTCGCACTCAAGCTGGTTACCACCACCAACCTGCTGCTCCTCGTCCCTCCACATGATGAAAACACACCTGAAAAAACACCTGAAGAAACGCCTGAAAGGACTCCTGAAATTGCAATGGGAAACTCCAGCGAGAATGTGGTTATTCAAGACAAGAAGCCCCAAAATGTGACAATACCGAGGGTGGCTGCAGCAGCAGTTGCGTCCAGCCACCTGGAGGTTGTTCCCGTGGCGCCTAGGCTGGCCCGGCTGACCCACCTGCTGTCTGCATGTGCTTATAACGAGCGGGACGAGGAGGAGGAGTTGAGAGGGGGTGAAGGGGAGGGAGAGGAGGGAGAGGGAGGAGGGGAGGGAGGAGGTGGGAGGAGAGGGGATGGTGGGATGGGAGGAGGAGGAATGTATAATGGAGTACGGAAGGGTGTAGGAGAGGGAGGTAATGGGAAGACGGGGAGACGGAAAGGGTGCACGTGGCAGGAGCTGGTTGGTCGGGTGCAAGCAAGCGAGGAGGAGATTCGAGCTGGTTTGGAGGCTGCTGGTGCCGTGAAGGTGGGTGTAGGAGAGTGATGAAGATGGGTGGAGAGCGATGAAGATGGGTGGAGAGTGGTGAAGATGGGTGGAGAGTGGTGAAGAGAAACTGTGAGGAGAGGAGTAGCAGCTGGTCTCTAGAGGAGAGGAGAGGAGAGGAGAGGAGAGGAGAGAAGAGCAGCCTCAACACTGTGCAAGTGAGACTGTGTTGATGTGAGAATGTGTTGATGTGAGTATGTGTTGATGTGAGAATGTGTTGATGTGAGAATGTGTTGATGTGAGACTGTGTTGATGTGAGACTGTGTTGATGTGAGACTGTGTTGATGTGAGACTGTGTTGATGTGAGACTGTGTTGATGTGAGACTTTGTTGATGTGAGAATGTGTTGATGTGAGAATGTGTTGATGTGAGAATGTGTTGCTGTGAGAATGTGTTGATGTGAGACTGTGTTGATGTGAGACTGTGTTGATGTGAGATTGTGTTGATGTGAGAATGTGTTGATGTGAGACTGTGTTGATGTGAGAATGTGTTGATGTGAGACTGTGTTGATGTGAGACTGTGTTGATGTGAGACTGTGTTGATGTGAGACTTTGTTGATGTGAGAATGTGTTGATGTGAGAATGTGTTGATGTGAGAATGTGTTGCTGTGAGAATGTGTTGATGTGAGACTGTGTTGATGTGAGACTGTGTTGATGTGAGATTGTGTTGATGTGAGAATGTGTTGATGTGAGACTGTGTTGATGTGAGAATGTGTTGATGTGAGACTGTGTTGATGTGAGAATGTGAGAGAATGCGGGTGTGCTCTGGGGGCAGGCAGGAGATTGGCTGAAGGTGATTCAAAGCTTGCTACAGTTGGTTGGCACATTATCAAGCCTTACAGTGGGCACACTGTGCTGTTACACTGCAGTGGGCCCCAACACTTGCAGTTTGCAGCGGGCAGTCTCCAACTCCTATCCCCGAAAGGCCTCTCTCCTGCTTGTGGGGAAAGAAAAAAACTTCTTGTTATTTCTTTCCCCACTTCCCCTTCCTGCTCCCCTTTTTCCATCATCCCCTTGCTTCCTCTTCATTGGTCTCACATCCACACGCTCTCAGCCACATTTCTCCTCACCCCACCCCCCCGCCTGCCCATCTCCATGTGCTGTCGATGAATAGATCGGTGACATGTGGCGGGGAGTCGACCCTGCATACCTCGCCTCGCTCCTCCACCTGCTGCTGCTGACGGCAGCAGCCAATGACTGGCCGCCGCGTGCCATTCCTGAGGCTGCTACCGTGGCTGCTATGTGCGGGGAAGGGGGGAAGGGGGAAGGGGGGAAAACGGAAGGGGGAGAGAGGATGAGGGGAGAACGTGAAGGGGAAGAGGGGGAAGGGGAGAGAAGGGAGGGTCCGAGGGCAGAGCTGGTGAGGCACTGTCTGAAGGTGTTTGGTAAGAGGAGGAGGAAGGGGAGGAGAGAAGAGTGGGAGGAGGCGAGGAGCGTCAGAGTGGGGGGAAGTGGAGCGGACGATGGAGGGTTGGAAGATTGTGGGAAAGGAGAGGGAGGGGAGGGTGGAGGAGTGGAAGAGGGGGAGTGCGTGTGGTGGGAGTTGGATGAGAGGAAGGTCTGTCGTCACTACGCCAGGCAGCTGCTGGAATCAGGTACCCCTCTCCCCACCCTCACGTCCCTCCCTCTTACCCCTAAACCCCAAGTCTCAAAACCCTGAATCCTGGCAGCAGCTGTTTGAGTCAGGTACCCCTCCCCTTCCCTTGTTGCTTTTCTTAAGTTTTGAGTTAGCTGAAACACACTTGGATCAGTGGAAGGTGTGTCGGCACTACACCAGGCAGCTGCTAGAATCAGATACTATTATCCCATGCCCTCCCAGGAGGGTGTGTTGCTCCTCTCTTCGGCCTGACTTTTGAGTCGACTCAAAAGTCAGCCCATGCCCTCCCAGGAGGGTGTATTGGCTCCTTTCTTCGGGCACTCGCTCTGTTTGTCTCTCTGCATCCATCCACACATGGCCGAAGCAGGCGTGCATCCCATGCCATGCCCCTATCGCTTCCCCTCCCCGCTCTCCCTATCCTCCCTCCTCCCTCACATGCACCTCTTCAGGCACCGGCAGCCGCCTTTCTGTTTTCATGCATGCATGGGCGAAGCAGGTGCTTCCCACTCTGCCCCATGCCCGCACCATCGCTTGCATGACAATCCTCTCCCCCAGGCTATCGTTGGCGCCTCTCTGCATTCGTGAAAGCATGCGCGAAAAAGGTGCCACCCGCCATCGCCATACCACTTCACACCGCTGCAAACCCATGTGCACCATCCCGCAATCTCCCTTACCCTCCCCATGCAAACCCTCTCCCCCAGACACTCGCTGGCGCCTCTCTGCTTTCATGGAGGCATGGGCAAAAAGGTCCCACCTGCCCTGGCCCAATCGCGTTACCTCCATGCTCTCTCTATCCACCTCCCTCCTCCCTCACATGCACCTCTGCAGTCACTCGCTGGCGCCTCTCTGCTTTCATGGAGGCATGGGCAAAAAAGGTCCCACCTGCCCTGGCCCAATCGCGTTACCTCCATGCTCTCTCTATCCACCTCCCTCCTCCCTCACATGCACCTCTGCAGTCACTCGCTGGCGCCTCTCTGCTTTCATGGAAGCATGGGCAAAAAGGTGCTTCTTATTATTGCCCCCTCCCTTCACCCACCCGCCCATCCACCCTACTCCCCCACATGGCACATCTTCCCTCACATGCACCCCTGCAGGCACGCGCTGGCGCCTCTCTTCTTTCATGGAAGCATGGGCAAAGAAGGTCCCACCCGCCATGGCCCAATCGCTGGACGCCACATGGCTGAGAGGCCTGGCAGTCCTGCAGCACGTGGGAGGACCAGCAGCAGCAGCGGCGGCAGCAGCAGCAGCAGCGACCGTAGCAGGGAAGACGGAGGAGGAACAGGAGTGTGAGCCGTTGGGAGGGGCGCAGAGCACGTGGCTGCGCTTCCTGCCGAGTGACCAGCTGCCAGCCACAGCAGAGCACCGCTTCCAGGCGCTGTTTAACGTGCAGCCCATGTGGGCTTTAGGGGATCTTGAACCCTACCTCATGTACGTACCTCAGGCATGTGGGGCAGATATTGTGGGGCAGGAGGGGCAGGTGGGACAGGTGGGCAGGAGGGGCAGGTGGGCAGGGGGGGCATGTCGGGCAGGTGGGACAGGTGGGCAGGAGGGGCAGGTGGGCAGGGGGGGCATGTCGGGCAGGTGGGACAGGTGGGCAGGAGGGGCAGGTGGGCAGGGGGGGCATGTCGGGCAGGAGGGGCAGGTGGGCAGGAGGGGCAGGTGGGCAGGGGGGGCATGTCGGGCAGGAGGGGCAGGTGGGCAGGAGGGGCAGGTGGGCAGGAGGGGCAGGTGGGCAGGAGGGGCACAGAGCACGTGGCTGCACTTTCTGCCGAGTGACCAGCTGCCAGCCACGGCAGAGCACCGCTTCCAGGCACTGTTCAGCATGCAGCTCATGTGGACGCTGGGAGATTTGGAGCCTTATCTCGTGTAAGTATCTGGTGCGGGGTGGTGTGGGGATGCATGCTGGATGTGCTCGGAGCACCGCTTCCAGGCGCTGTTCAGCGTGCAGCCCATGTGGGCGCTGGGGGATCTGGAACCCTACCTGGTGTCTAGGGCTGGTGAGCATGCAAGGCCGAAGCACCTAGTGCATGTTGGGAGAGTGTGAGCACGTGGCTGCGTTATCTGCCGACCACCTAGTGCATGTTGGGAGAGTGTGAGCACGTGGCTGCGTTATCTCCCGACCACCTAATGCATGTTGGGAGAGTGTGAGCACGTGGCTGCGTTATCTCCCGACCACCTAATGCATGTTGGGAGAGTGTGAGCACGTGGCTGCGTTATCTCCCGACCACCTAATGCATGTTGGGAGAGTGTGAGCACGTGGCTGCGTTATCTCCCGACCACCTAATGCATGTTGGGAGAGTGTGAGCACGTGGCTGCGTTATCTGCCGACCACCTAATGCATGTTGGGAGAGTGTGAGCACGTGGCTGCGTTATCTGCCGACCACCTAATGCATGTTGGGAGAGTGTGAGCACGTGGCTGCGTTATCTCCCGACCACCTAATGCATGTTGGGAGAGTGTGAGCACGTGGCTGCGTTATCTGCCGACCACCTAATGCATGTTGGGAGAGTGTGAGCACGTGGCTGCGTTATCTCCCGACCACCTAATGCATGTTGGGAGAGTGTGAGCACGTGGCTGCGTTATCTCCCGACCACCTAATGCATGTTGGGAGAGTGTGAGCACGTGGCTGCGTTATCTCCCGACCACCTAATGCATGTTGGGAGAGTGTGAGCACGTGGCTGCGTTATCTGCCGACCACCTAATGCATGTTGGGAGAGTGTGAGCACGTGGCTGCGTTATCTGCCGACCACCTAATGCATGTTGGGAGAGTGTGAGCACGTGGCTGCGTTATCTGCCGACCACCTAATGCATGTTGGGAGAGTGTGAGCACGTGGCTGCGTTATCTGCCGACCACCTAATGCATGTTGGGAGAGTGTGAGCACGTGGCTGCGTTATGTGCCGACCACCTAATGCATGTTGGGAGAGTGTGAGCACGTGGCTGCGTTATCTGCCGACCACCTAATGCATGTTGGGAGAGTGTGAGCACGTGGCTGCGTTATCTGCCGACCACCTAATGCATGTTGGGAGAGTGTGAGCACGTGGCTGCGTTATCTGCCGACCACCTAATGCATGTTGGGAGAGTGTGAGCACGTGGCTGCGTTATCTGCCGACCACCTAATGCATGTTGGGAGAGTGTGAGCACGTGGCTGCGTTATCTGCCGACCACCTAATGCATGTTGGGAGAGTGTGAGCACATGGCTGCGTTATCTGCCGACCACCTAATGCATGTTGGGAGAGTGTGAGCACGTGGCTGCGTTATCTGCCGACCACCTAATGCATGTTGGGAGAGTGTGAGCACGTGGCTGCGTTATCTGCCGACCACCTAATGCATGTTGGGAGAGTGTGAGCACGTGGCTGCGTTATCTGCCGACCACCTAATGCATGTTGGGAGAGTGTGAGCACGTGGCTGCGTTATCTGCCGAGCGACCAGCTGCCAGCCACAGCAGAGCACCGCTTCCAGGCGCTGTTCAGCGTGCAGCCCATGTGGGGTCTTTGGGATTTGGAGCCTTATCTCTTGTAAGTACGTACTTGGCGCGGGGTGGCATGGGGCATGCAGAGCCAGTAGCCACGGCAGAGCACCGCTTCCAGGCGCTGTTCAGCGTGCAGCCCATGTGGACGCTGGTAGATCTGGAGTACCCTCGTGTACATGCTTAGGGCATGCATGTGTGGTGGTACATGTATGCATGCACCCCTGTGATTCCCCCCTCCTCTGCTCATTATTACTCATCTCTCCACTCACTCTCTTCCTCCCTCCCCTCTCCCCGTGCATTCCCTCGACTCAAACGTCTCTTCTCTCTCTTCATGCATCCCCTCTCCCCATACAACCGCTTGTTTGAAGTAGTGTTGTGAGACGTCTCAAAACACTACTTCAAACACGTGGCTCTTCCTCTCTCCTCTCTCCCTGTGCATTCCCTCGACTCAAACGTCTCTTCTCTCTCTTCATGCATCCCCTGTCTGCATAAACCCCGGTAGTGACCTACAAGGCCCCGGCCAATCAGTGACTCATGATATTCACTCGCAAAAGAACAGGAGTGCCTGATAAACATGAACTGTACTGTGCACGATGATACTACCCACATCTCTCTCATCTCTCATCTCCCCTCTCTCCACACGTCCCTCGTACAGTGACCTACACGGTCCCGACCAATCAGTGGAGACCCTTCTGATGCGATTCACTCTCCGTCCATCCACTCTTCTCCTCTCCCCTCTCCCCATGCATCTCTCCCCACACGTCCCACTACAGTGACCTACAGGGTCCCGGCCAATCAGTGGAGACCCTTCTGATGCGATTCACTCGCAAAGTGCAGGAGGGGACCGATAAACCTGAACTGTACTGTGCTCGATAATACCATCCACCCAGTTCAGGACTGTACTGTGCTCGATAATACCATCCATCCAGTTCAGGATGTTGGAATTAAGGTTAATTCGGGTTGCTCCAATAAACATATGTAGTGATATATCTACACTATAGTAGTGTAGAATACATTGGCTGGGTTGGGAGAACTTGTGGTGTACACTCTATAGAATGGACCACCTCCCAAATCCTATAGGTTAGGGTTCTCTCTTGTTGGAACTTCACTTCTTGGAAACCACTTTGGTTCTAGCATGGTTCATGCTCAAGTGGGCTCCTAAGATTCCTATGCTTTAGGAGGAGGTTCTAAGACTACTAAAGCTTCCGCTAGTAGCTTAGTCCATTCTAACATGGTATCAGAGTTAGGAAGGCCTAGCAATATGTTGGAATAGGAGTTACTCAAGACATCGGACCATAATATCTTGGTGGAAGCTATTTAGCTTCCATCCTCCCCGAAGGACTGCCGAAATTGCACCGTGGCGGACTCTGGACGTGGGAAAGGAGGAGGAGAGAAGAAAACTGCTTGAAATCGTGTGGATCCGTTCGGGAGGACGAGAAGAGCGACATCCATTCACAGAGGCGCTCAGTCAACTTTGACCGATCAAGACGTGCAGCACACCGTTGGAAATGTCTCAGCACGATCTACAACAATTGCCTCGGAGTCGTCACCAATCGACGAGCGGATCGGACGCAACTCGCGAAAAAACTGCCGGCGGCCGAATCGGAAAATTGCAAATCGGGGACAATTTAAAGCGCGGAAAAGAAATTGGAGGGCGAGCGCCAAGAGAGGAGACCAGGGCGCATCCAACAAGCCAAAAATCAGGCGAAACGGTTGAGTCTTCGTCAACGGAAACTTGGCCAACTTCGACGAGTTTAAGCGGACAGCTCGGACGTGGGATCCCGGAGCGCGATACATCATTGGAACGGGCTCGAAGCGAGGATTCATCAAAATCTAACGGCTCATCATTCGGAGGTTTGAGCGCGGAGTTACGCTCCAAAACCCAAGAGGGGGTGAATCTGCCCGCATCGTCTTCACCGCCACCGCCGTTGCCTCCACCACCACCTCAACGTCAATCTTCAGTGCCTGCGCCACAAATGGATCACGACTCAGGCGAAGGGAAGCTGGAGAGTGCGCCAAAGTTTGATGGGAGCGACTATTGGATTTGGAGCTTCCGATTCGAACAATGGGCAGAGGCGCACGATTTATGGGGGTACTTTGACGGCTCGGAGGAGCGACCTGCAACGGGTGACGCACGGCTGAAGTGGGAGAGAAAAAATCAGAAGGCATTCGCCCAATTTTGCAATGCCTTGGTGCCAGATGAGCTGATTCGTTTGGTACGGGAGTTCGGCGGCAAGACTGAGTTGGGCAGCGCACCTGTTGATGGCGCAGCAAGAGCAGTCACCCGGGTTCCTGCAGGCACAGCAGCGGCATACACACGAGTGAAGGAGTTCTACCTTCAGCGTGGATTGTGTAATCGGATGGCACTCTCTGAGGAGCTCTCCTCATTGAAGATGAAAGAGGGAGAGGGAGTGGCTGCATACTGGGCGTGTGCCGAGGACTTGAGGTCCAAGTACTTGGCTGCAGGAGGGAAGGAGGAGGTTGAGGAGTGGATGATGAGGGTACTCAAAGGACTACCTCCTCACTTTGAGATGCTGAAGGTGGTGCTGAACAACCAGTCATCATCACTCACTAAGGATCAGCTGCTTACCTCCTTGAGGAGCGAGGAGATGCGGATTGGTGTCGCACCAAGATCGGATGGTGTAGCCACCTTTGGAGCGGGTACGAAAGTGGGCAGCGGCGGCAGGGGAAATTGGGACAAGGGAGGAAAGCATGGAGGCAGCGGTAGCAGCAGTGACACCAACTCGGGCAGATGGGGTCAAGGGAAAGGCAAAGCGGGAGTGCTTGATTTCCCCTGGGGGTCCAAGGGCATGGCTCCTCGGGGGTTGTGTCATGGCTGTTGGGATGAGGGACATGCATGGCAGCGATGTCCTCATCGACCTAAGGGAGGCATTCCGGCATTCTTGAAGCGGGGGGGTCGTGGGTCCAACGGCAAGGCACAGGTGGCGGATGAGGAGGAGCAGGATGACAAGGCAGAGGCAGTGGTTGGAGAGGCAGTTGAAGCAGTGGGAGAGGAGCAGCCGCGAGAGGGGTGGTGGATTGACAATGGGGCCAGCCACAACTTTACTCCTTATGCGTCAGACTTCAAAAGTAAGCTTCAGCCACCAGAGGTTCGGGGAGTTAGATTGGGAGATGGACGGGTGGTGAAAGCTGTTGGCATGGGTGAGGTGCCAGTGGTTGGTGCTGGAGGTCAGCTGCTGAGGATTCAAAAGGTCCACCTTGTGCCTGAGATGAACACGCGTCTTCTGTCAGTCCCACACCTCACCTCTCGAGATGTCATTGTCACATTCAAGGGCAAGAAATGTGTCATTCAACGAGGGGAGCGGGTGTTGGCGATTGGAGAAAAAGAGAGGGGAAGGGACCATGGATTGGTGCGGATGTTTCTTCCTCTTCCTCTTGCAGCTAGGTCCTCCTCCTCATTTTCCCCATTGACCCTTGCCCATCGCCGCCTTGGTCATACCGCCCCCACAACATTGCAACAGATGGCTCGGGGGAACAGTGTACTGGGCTTTGAGATTGGGGGGGGGGGCACTGATTGCTCCCCATGTGAGCCTTGCTTATTGGGAAAGTCGGCTCGGAAGCCGTTTCCCCATGAGGCGTCTCGGGCACTTGGGCCTTTGGATGAGGTCCACATGGATTTGTGGGGGCCATTGCGCACAGCGTCACTGGGAGGAGCGGTGTATGTCCTCAGTCTCATTGACGACTTCACCAGACGAGTTTGGTCGTTCCCCCTCCCCAACAAGGAATCGGCCACAGTTGCAAAGGTCCTTCGCCAGTGGCATAAGGACGTGGAGTTGGAGTGTGGGCGGAAGCTGAAGGCTGTTCGCTCGGACAGGGGTGGCGAGTTCTTGGGGGAAGCTGTAAAAGCATGGAAGGCGGAGTTTGGCATTAAAACTCAATTGAGCGTCGCAGATACACCGCAACAGAATGGGGTCGTGGAGAGGTGGCACAGGACGATGGCAGAGGGGATTCGCACATTGTTGGTCGACAGTGGTCTCCCTGCTCGCTTGTGGGGTGAAGCATTGATGTGGGTCGTGTGGGTTAAGAACAGGGTCACCCAGAGTGCTTTGCCTGCCTCCATCACACCAATGGAGGCGTGGTCCGGCCAGAAGCCGCATGTGGGCATGGCTCGGATTTGGGGTTGCATGGGGAGTGTCATGCTGCATGGGCATGAGAAGGGTGGCAAGCTTGATGCACGGGCTGTCATGTGTGTCTGTGTTGGGGTGGACACGGAGAGCAAGGGTTGGCGCATGCTGGACCCTTCTCTCATGCGCATTCGCATTGCTCGGGATGTTGATTTTCTTGAGAATGTGATGTGGAAGGATTGGGACAAGGCAAAGGGATTTAGGGAGCTTCTGCAGGATGCAGCTGCAATTTCCCAACTCCTCCATCTTCCACTCTCGCCACCCTTAGCAACGGCTGACGACGTTGAGATGCCACCTTCATCACTGCCACCGGCACCGCTGAGTGTGTCGGTGCAGCAGCTGCCCACCCCTCTGCAGCAGCTCAGTGGCCCCTCGGTCATTCAGCGGAGATCCGCTACACAAGCTACTTCCTCTTCCTCCTCCTCTGGTCAGCGCTCTGTCCCTCTCTCTACGGGTGCCCCTCCGTCACCAGCGACTACCTCCCCACCACCGGTTACGGGTTTGCAGGTGCTTGGTATCCAGTCTGGTACAGGTGGTGAGGAGGTAGGGGGGGATGCTGGTGTGGTTGAGGGCATGCTGTGTTTGGCCAGGGAGGTGGAAGGTGTTGCACTGGCAGGTGTGAGCACCGGTGATGTCCCACGCACACTCGCTGAGGCCCTGCGTGGCCCTGAGGGCCCTGCGTGGAAGGCAGGCGCTGAGAAGAAGGTAAATGCAATGCGCACTATGGGTGTATGGGATTTAGAGCCGGTCAACTTACCTCTAGGTAAGAAGGCCATTGGGGTCAGGTACGTTTTCCGCAGGAAAAATGACAAGGAGGATAAGGTGGTACAGCACAAGGTTCGCCTTGTTGCTAAGGGGTACACTCAGGAGCCCGAGAAGGACTATGATCAGGTATTTGCCCCTGTGGGCAAGCTCACCTCTGGTCGGGTGCTTCTTGCAGAAGCCGCGGTAAAAGGGTGGCATGTACAACAGGAGGATGTTGATCATGCTTACCTCAATGCAGTCCTTCAAGAGGAGGTGTATGTGAGGCAGCCTGAGGGATTTGATGATGGTACAGGTAGGGTGTATCGCTTGCGCAAAGCTCTCTATGGGCTCAAGCAAGCGCCTCGTGCTTGGAATGAGGAGATTGGTACCACCCTGATTGCAGCAGGGTTTGACCGCAGTGCATGTGATGAGGCTCTGTACATCAGGTTTGTGGATGAAGAGCCAGTGTATGTATTGGTTTATGTGGATGACCTCTTGCTTGTGTCTCCACGCTTGGAGCTGATCGGTCAGGTCAAGGAGGTGCTTGCTCAGAGGTACCAGATGAAGGATCTAGGTGAGGTATCCACGTACCTTGGTGTGGAGGTTCGCAGGTCGGTCAAGGATGGGTGGTTGGAGATTGGTCAGGAGAAGTATGTCCGTGGTCTCCAGGGAAGGTTTGGTGATCTGCTGAAGGAGACCCATAGGGTGCATACTCCAATGTCACCCAATGATCTCTCTAAGATCAGAAATGGTACTTGGTCGCCTGAGGAAGGTGTTGCAGCTGATGTCAAGGTGTACCAGAGTCTCATTGGCAGCTTGATGTATGCTGCTGTGACCACCCGTCCTGACATGTCTTTCACTGTCAACACCCTTGCACAGTCCTGCGTGGCACCAAGACGCATTCACATGCGCGCTGCACTGAGAGCACTCAGGTACTTGGTCGACACAGCTGATCGTGTCATCAGGTATGAGCGCCAAGGTGGTGAGCAGGTTGTTGGGTACACAGACTCGGATTGGGGTGGTGAGACTGATGGCAAGAGTCGCTCTGCCTACATCTTTAAGCTGGGAGGAGGAGCAATCAGCTGGTATAGCAAAAAGCAAGACAGTGTCGCAGCAAGCGTTTCTGAAGCTGAGTACAAAGCTCTATCGGAGGGGGCCAAGGAGGCCATTTGGTTGAGGAGTTTGTTGGCAGAGATGCATGTGGGGGATGGGGGGGCTATTCCATTGTTCTGTGATAATGAGGCTGCTGTCTCCCTTGCCCACAATCCCGTTCTCCATCAGCGCACCAAGCACATTAAGGTGGCATGTCACTTTGTACGGGATGCGGTGCGCCAGCAGGAGGTCGAGGTGCACTCAGTACGTTCCCACCTCCAGGATGCCGACATGCTCACCAAAGCTCTTCCAAGCTTGCAGCTGCATGAGAACCTGGAGCGCATCGGCATGCGAGTGATGGCTGCGAAGGCCAAGGCTTCATTCGCTGGAGGGGTTGTGTTTTGATTTATGAGTGAACTTTAATGCTTATTGGAGCAAGGGGGGGTGTTGGAATTAAGGTTAATTCGGGTTGCTCCAATAAACATATGTAGTGATACATCTACACTATAGTAGTGTAGAATACATTGGTTGGGTTGGGAGAACTTGTGGTGTACACTCTATAGAGTGGACCACCTCCCAAACCCTATAGGTTAGGGTTCTCTCTTGTTGGAACTTCACTTCTTGGAAACCACTTTGGTTCTAGCATGGTTCATGCCCAAGTGGGCTCCTAAGATTCCTAGGCTTTAGAAGGAGGTTCTAAGACTACTAAAGCTTCCGCTAGTAGCTTAGTCCATTCTAACACATGACTGTACTGTACTGCTCGATAATACCATGGTGCAATGACTGCATCCATCCATGGTGCACGCAAGATCATCATACACACTGCTGCTGCTCCTAGGCAATTTAGCTTGGGCAGCATGCGGTACCATGGCTGCTGCAGCCATGCAGTGTCCTAGAAATGGTACGTGCTGGTAAGCAGTAACCCTATATCAATGCCAACATCATCCACGACGGTTATTTGTATCGGTATGACTTTTGAGAATTCTCACAATTCATACCTTTTTCCTAGTCCTACGAAGCAACCCACCATACTTAGCTGAAAGTTTTAACGGCGACCACACGGTTGGCTTGCTGCGGTTCGAATCCTTCCTACTCTACGTGCCGCTAAGCAGTAACCCTACATCAATGCCAACATCATCCACGGTTATTTGTATCAGCCTCTAGAAGAAGCCGCTAGGTATAACCATACGATTACCAGTACCATACATGAGTTGCAAGAAGGCAAACCCACCCAACCCAACATAAACCTACATACCGGTAAGTACCTCAACCTTTCTACAAATAACTTCTCCCAAGGTACGGTACATCCAACCAACTTGCAAACACTTCTAAAAGCACCTCAAGAACCCCAAGAACTCCATTTGTGATGAGTCGATTTTTGAGTCGACTACAAAATCGACTCATAACTTGCCAACACTTCTAACAGCACCTCAAGAGCCCCAAGAACCCCAAGAACCCCATTCAGCACTCGAGCGTCCTTCCTTCACGAAATCCATCTCCCTTACTGTAGCTGCCAAGCTGGTGAGGCGAGTACCGCCTGCACCAGATGCTGCCCGCCTGGCAGCTGTGGCCCGCACCAGGTGCCCTTTGGTTTAACTCAGAACCCCAGAAGCGCATCTATCGCTTGAGCATACTTCTCAGCCTCCGGTGGTGGGTACGGCACGAGTCCATCCAAATCCATCTCCCGCACTGTAGCAACCAGGCTCTCGGGTACCGCCTGCACCAGGTGCTGCCTGGCTGCGAGCGCCCCTGCAAGCTCTCTCTGGTGGTTGTCCATGAGAGCCCCGTTCACCACCACCACCAGCGGCTTGCTTGCTCTCAGAGCCTCGAATATGCTGCCTGAGCCTGCGAGGGGCATGGGGGGTGAGGGAAGCATAACAGAGGGTAGGGCTTTACCGTTCACCACCACCACCAGCGGCTTGCTTGCTCTTAATGCCTCGAATATGCTGCCTGAGCCTGTGGAGAGTGAGGGGCAGGGGCATGAAGTGGGGAAGGGGAAGAGGGAAGGGTCACCGGTGCTGCCACCACCACCACCAGCGCCTTGCTTGCTCTTAATGCCTTGAATATGCTGCCTGAGCCTGTGGGGCAGCAGGGGAGAGGGGGGCAGAACGCGGAAGGAGGAGGAGGGGATAGGAGCAGGGGAGGGGGCGGGAGAGAGGTGGCGGGTGCTGCCACCACCACCACCAGCGGCTTGCTCGCCTCAGCACCTCGAATATGCTGCCTGAGCCTGTGGGGAAGCAGGGGAGAGGGAGGGAGAACGTGGGAAAAGGAGGAGGAGGAGGAGGAGGAGGAGGAGGAGGAGGAGGAGGAGGAGGAGGAGGAGGAGGAGGAGGAGGAGGAGGAGGAGGAGAAGGAGGAGGAAGAGGAGGAGGAGGAGGAGGGAGAGAGGGGAAGCGGGGGGGGGGGGGGGAGCAGGGGAGGCAGGGAGGAGAGGAAGGGGGGAGGGGAGTCATAGCAGGGAGGCAGGAATGGTGAGAGGGGGAGGGGGAGAAGCGGGATGGGTCATTCTCACCAGTATGGCCTGCACCACACCAGGTGCTGCCTGCCTGTCTGTCAGCCAGCGACAATGCCAGCTTTCTCTGGGTTTGAACTTCCAATGATTTCAATTATTTCGACAATTTCCAATGATTTCAATTATTTCGACAATTTCCAATGATTTCACTGATCATGAACAGCAGAAAAGGAATCTTGAGCCGACTCAAAAGACACCACCACAGTGCAGTGTAGCGGGCGGGCAGATAAAAGACTAGTTTTGAACCGCCTCAAAACAGTACAGTGTAGCGTGCAGATAAAAGAACACGACGGTGGTTCTTCCGACTGCCTGCACCGCATTTAGTGCAAGTAAGCGAGCTTACCTGCGTGGCTTATAACCAGGGATGCTTGTTTGATATAGGGTGCCATGGAGGGAGCGAACTCAAAGCTCGTTACAGTCACACCTGTGCTGTCAGGGTCGCCCTGCCATCTTGACACACAGCAAGAACGAGGAGCACAAGGGAGGCACCACAAAAAACACATCAATCACAACAATTACGAGATCGACTCTTGACACACAGCAATCCCGCTCGACTCTTGCTTACTGTCACTCCCGTGCTGTCAGGGTCGCCCTGTCATCTTGACACACAGCAAGGACCACAAAGGAGGCACCACAGTTATCATAGGAAATCCATTCAAACTCGTTACAGTCACATCCGTGCACCTTACAGTCACGCCTGCGCTGTCAAGGTCGCCCTGCCATCTTGAAACACTACAACGAGGAGCGAAGAAGAGACACCACAGAAATAACAGAGATCACGCTCAAACTCGTTAGAGTCACATCTGTGTGCCCTACAGTCACGCCCCTGCTGTCAAGGTCGAACGGCCATCTTGGCACAACACAAGGAGGAAAGTAACAGATGCACCACACAAATCACAAAAAAAAAAACAAAACAAAACAGCACGCACGCACGCACGCACGCACGCACGCACGCACGCACGCACGCACGCACGCACGCACGCACGCACACACACACACACACACAAAATCCACGCTAAAAAAACTCGTTACTGCCACACCTGAGTTCCCTCGCCCTCGCTGCACCACGATTTAGGTGAAACCACACTGTTCGGATTCTTGGCTGCTCTACAAAGATTCCGTAAAAGACACTGCAGCTATTTTTTATCACTGCGGCAAAAATCACTGCGGCGAACGTGTGGAACGCGGCGAACGCGGCGAACGTGTGGAAGTGGGAAATCCAGGCCATTCATACCTCAGCAGACTTGTACGTGCCTTGGCTCCGCTGCACCACCACCACAGATGTCAAGCCGCGATGCTTCAACGCGGCGCCAACAGGAACCCTTCCCTCGCCTCAGCAGGCTTGCACATTCCTTCCCGCGCATACCTCGGCCGGTTTGTATGTCCCTCGTCCCCGTGTCACCCACTGGTGCGACAAAAACCCTCCCTTCCCCTCCCCCCCCTCGCCTCGCCTCGCCTCAGCAGGCTTGCACATCCCTTCCCGCGCATACCTCGGCCGGTTTGTACGTTCCTCGTCCTCGCTGCACCACCAGGGATGTTAACCTGCGCTGCTCGAGAGAGGGCCCTGCTCTGTTACACTCTCAGAGGTGAAAACACGGAAACATCCCTCGCAGAGCATACCTCGGCTGGTTTGTACGTCCCTCGGCCTCGCTGCACAACCACGGATGTGAACCCGCGCTGCTTCAGAGCCGAGCGGCATTCGCGGCTGTCCACCGCTTCAACCAGCGCGTCGAACCGCGTCGTACCCACCGTCACGAACACGGAACCACCGCCATCAGAAGCACCAGCCGCGCTGGTAGTCGCGGCGATTCGTTTATCGTCGCTTTCGATGCTTTGCGATCCTGGATCGCCAGGCTCGGCGCGCATAGCCGCTGCGGAAAGGCGAGTAGTATGTTCAGCGATTGTGGTTCTTTTCTAGGATTTCGACCGCTCTTGAAGCTTGTATCGTTTTTCGAGGTTTTCCTAAGGTACAAGTTTCGCGGTCCCTCAGCTGCTCCGAGCTCGCCGTGTGCAACAACTTCGGCTTCGTGAAGCTGGTGAAGCTGGCTGAAGGCGAAGCAAGCCATGCGTTACTGAATAAACATTTCGCAGCTCTTCCAATTGCTTGCGAAAATTCGCTAGATTCTCGCGAGTGATGGTAACTTCGCCGTGCTGCGTCACTGGTTGAAAGCTTGAATCGAACTAGGTGGAGATTGGGTGGAAGAATGTCGCATTCGCATTTGAGATGGCATGTGAGAAGCTCTTGTTCACATTTGAGCAGAGGTGCTTGAGGTCAACAAGGTGTCATTCTACGGAACGTAGCTCAAGTCGCATCACCAAGAGTCTCGTTTCTCAAGCCTTCGGTTACGTACCCTTTTGTTATCCACCGCTCGTAGAACAAGCTCTGGTGTAATCCATTCAAGCAGGCTAATTGCGAGTAACACCTTTCCTCAACTTAGGATCACCACCCTCATTCCTCGCCTGTCTGTACACCGTGTAAAGATCTCTTAGTGTGCGAACACGAAACTGATACACCTGTCGCATCTTTATTGCGTCGACACCATTGCCGCTCGCACTCTTTCATCGCTGGACGACTTATTCCGCAATAGGATAAAGAGTGCGTCTACTCCATACCACCAATCAAGCTAAGGGACCGTCAAGAAAAGGCAACTGGTCTAATTCTGCGATTTAGGGAGCCATGGGTAAGAACGGATTTCTTACTCCGAAGGCCATCGCGAACCGAATTAAAGCCAAGGGATTGCAGAAGCTGCGATGGTACTGCCAGATGTGTCAGAAGCAGTGCCGCGACGAGAATGGCTTTAAGTGCCATTGCATGTCGGAAGGCCATCAACGGCAGATGCAGGTTTTCGGCATGAACCCGGAGCGATTCGTGGGAGGCTATTCCGAGGAGTTCGAGAAAACTTTCATGGAGCACATTCGACGCAGTCACAGGTTCAGTCGCGTGGCCGCGACAGTGGCTTATAACGAGTACATCGCGGACCGGCACCACGTGCACATGAACTCCACCAAGTGGTTGACGTTAACGGAATTCGTCAAGCATCTCGGCAGGGAAGGTCTCTGCAAAGTCGAGGACACTCCCAAGGGCTGGTTCATATCGTACATCGATCGCGAGCCGGAAACGCTGTTCAAGGAAGGGCAGAAGAAGAAGCGGGAACGGGCGGAGCTGGTGGGGGAGGAGCGACACGAGAAGGATATTCAGGAGCAGATCGAACGGGCGAGATCGAAGCAGCCGCAGCCGGAGGATGCGGAGGCGAAGGATGCGGATCCGGAGAAGAAGGCTCTGCAGCGCGATCCCAACGCGGGAGAGAAAATCGCGTTTGCGTTCGGGGGGCTGGGGGGAGGAGGTGGTGGGAGTGGGGCGTCTGGAGTGCAGAAGGCAGGTGGGAGTCAGAAAGCAGGAGGGAGCAGCGCTTCCGCCGCAGCAGCAGGAGCAGCAGGTGGCGTTGGTGGTTTACAGGTTGAGAGTAAAACAGGAGCAGCAGTGTTTGGTGAAGATGAATACGATGATGCTGATGGGGATGGTGATGGGGTTGTGGCAGGAAAAAAGGCGAGGCGAGGTGGTGAGGATGGGGATAAAGGAGGGTCTAAATCAGGTGGTGGCAGAGCTGGCGGGGGAACCCTAGCAGCGTTAATGGAAGAGCAGGAGAGGGCAAAGGAGAAGGCGAATCGGAAGGACTATTGGCTTACAGAGGGCATTGTGGTGAAGATTATGAGTAAAGCTCTCAAGGAGAAAGGGTATTACAAGCAGAAAGGTGTGGTGTTGCGTGTGATTGATCGATACGTTGGTGAGATTAAGACGTTGGAGGAAGGGCATGTGGTAAGGGTGGATCAGGAGGAGTTGGAAACGGTGCTGCCGCAGATTGGAGGGGTGGTGAGGGTTGTGAATGGGGCGTACAGGGGTAGCCTGGCAAAGCTGGTGGGGGTTGACACGGAGAAGTTTTGTGCTAAGGTGGAAATTCAGAAGGGTGCGTTCGATGGGAGGGTGATTCCGAGGATTGATTATGAGGATATTTGCAAGGTGCATGTGAAGTGACATGGTGGTGTCAGGTGTACAGCGGAGTTTCAGGAGTGCATGAGCTGGAATCTGGAGTCACTCATTGGTGTTGGTTGGACAGTTAAAGCACATTCCTGCAAACTTGTGTCACGTAAGGAGGCATAACGTGTTGCAATCTACCAAAAGAGGAGGGTACATAAATGCACACAAATGCGGAGGATACCAATCATCCATGCCAGAAGGAACTCTTGAGAAAGTTGCACTACTGTACCTATGTGTGCAGAGCAGTGGTAAGGGCGACGTCAGGTTGTACATTTCTCAGCACCTTTACAGTTCTTGTATCGTGGCTCAGGACGGTTCCACACAGTAGGAAGCGGTTTTCAAGCTTTACCATTTTGCACCGTGAAGAAACGGATTTTGAGTGACAGAAGTACCGTACAAACTGACGTCGCCCTAATAACAGCAACGAGCATTCAAGCCGCGTAATGCAAAAGGGTGTTCGTTTCGTACAGAGCTGCACAAAGGCTTGGTGGTCTCGTGTGGTGTATCTGGTCTAGTTGATCATGAGTGCTACAATTGCACGAGTCACAACGATCGCGTCTCTGCCTTCAGCTGCGAATGCATTGCGTTTCAGTCTTACTGTATACTCGTTAAAGAGCATGCACGTTACGTGATGATGGGTGGGTAGGTAGTTAGAGTCTCAATTGAAAAGCATATCTTCCATCTACTGGTCTGCCTCCTCGGCCATGTCTGCCAGCCAGTTCTGCCTCCAGCTAAACTTCCTTAACTACCATTTGCACGCTCCTTGCAGCCTCATCCTCTTTATAAGACATCACAGTATGATGGGTAACTAGGGTCTCTGTTGAACAGCATGTCTTCCCTCTCCTGGTCTGCCTCCTCAGCCATGGCTGCCAGTTCTGCCTCCAACTGCACTTCCTCTGCCTACAGCTGTATGCCTTGCAGCATATCCTCTGTATAGGACATCTCGTTATGATGGATAACTGGAGTCTCGATTGAAAAGCATGTCTTCTCTCTCCTGGTCTGCCTCCTCAGCCATGGCTGCCAGTTCCGCCTCCAGCTGCACTTCCTCTGCCACCAGCTGGGAGTACATGGAATACACTCTCCTGCTGCGTAACCAGGTTACCACTGACATCACCGCCAGCACCACAATTATAACCGCTCCAATAGCTGTGATTATAATGTACTTTGGAGCGAGATATTTTGCTGGGATGTAACGAACCTGGAACAGGCACTCCCCAACAATAATATCTTCGGGCAGTTTCACCGCTCCGGGCAGGTTCTCGCTGCAGTTTTTGGGCAGGTTCCAAGAGTAGGAGACGTTGTGGTTGCCGGCGCTGTCGGTGCAGCTTTGCTGGAAGCTACTGTAGTCGTCTGCAGTGCATGGGGAGCATAGCTGGTCGGGAGGGAGAGGCGCCTGGGCGTTGGGCTGACACACCTGGTGGAAGACGGGATGGGGGCAGGAGAGAGAGAGGAGATAGAGGAGAGAGGGAGTTGTGAGAGGCGGAGAGAGGAGGTGCAGCTTTGCTCGAAGCTACTGTAGTCGTCTGCAGTGCATGGAGAGCACAGCTGGTCGGGAGGAAGAGGGGCCTGGGCATTGGGCTGACACACCTGGTGAGTGACGGGAATGGGGGAAAAGAGAGGAGGTAGGGAGGAGAGAAGTGAGTGGGGGAGGGTGATGCGGGGAGGAGTGGTATTGAGGGGTGATGAGGGAATCAACGAATTGTTAAGTGCCTTGGTGACAGTGCATACCCCCCTGCCACCACCACCCCGCCTCCTCTCAAATGGTCCTTTGTATTAATTCAGCAGGGGGTACAGACATACAGTTTGACTCGTGAATCCCTTAGGCCCTCTCACCCATTAACCCATCCCTCTCACCCTCCCCCCCCCTGAGTGACCCTCTACCCCTCCAGCGTGTGGAGGATGTCCCCTAGGTGCAGCGGCCATGGGTCCGCTGCCATCTGCGGGTGCGCCGCCTCGATCCCCGCCCTGGCCTTGGTGTGCAGGGCATTCGCCTGGGCGCTGGAGAGCCACTGACCAGCGCTGGCTGAAGTGGCAGGCCATCTTCTTGGCGGATTTCGCCAAGGGGTTGGCCCTGAAGCGGTTCCTAGCTGCTGCTGTGGCCAGCAGCTTCAGGAATGCCGTCGTGGGGGGCGCGTTTGCCCCGTAGGTCTCGGCGGCCAGGGCGCAGTACACCACGTGTTCTGTTTGCCTGTAGTAATCCCTTTCCTTCCTCTTCTGTGCCTCCCTTGCAGCTCAGCCTGGGGGTTTGCGGGCTGCGGGGTCTCGGTTCTATAGCACAGGGCTAGTGATAGTCGTGTCTGTGATCCACGTCTCTCCACTGTCTAGGTCGCGTACTATCACATTGGCCTTCTTCGGGTCATCTGGTGGTGAGTACATTGCATTCTCCAGGTATACCACCAGCTGTGCCTCCCTCGCCATTTTAGCCACGGCGAAGGCCAGCTGGTTGTGTGTGCGCGTTCTGTCGGGGCCTGTGCTGCAGCGGAGTAGGTGGTTGGGTAGGCTGCAGTCGGCTACGAGCTCTCCACACTCGCACACGGTAGGTACATTCTGTCGGATGCCCATGCGGAAGGCTAGGGCTGTTCGGAATTGCCCTGGTGAAAAGCAAAGGTCTGGAGTCAGGGGTAGGGCTTGCAGCCATGCTCCCGCTCCCTCGCCTTTCAGGCTGACGAGGCGGAACGTGTGGCCCATCTCGGGGGCTGACCTGATTGCCCGTGATTCCTCTGTCAGGGCGTCGGCCTTTGCCGCGTGCACTTCCTGAGAGAGGGCGCGCTGCAGCTGGTCTTGGGACGGGGTTTGCTGCTCCTCGAGGAGGTGTTGCAACGCTAGCGGCGGCAGTCGTCCCTCCATGTCTTGGATGGTGACCGAGTGCGCTGCAGACGGCTGCAGGGCGTTGCTGTTGCCCCCTAGCGCCGCGGTTGCTGGAAGGTCAAGGGAGCGGAGCAGGCGTAGTGCCTCTGTTGTCGAAGCCAGGTAGGCTGGTGCTGCTTCTGTTGTGGGGTCTGTGAGGCCCAGTCAACCTAGGGCTACTGGGAGGGTTGCTTGGCGGAGAAGAAAATTGAACTCGGCTTCGCGGCGGGGTGGTTGGATGCTAGCGGCAGTCAAGGCGGTGTTGAGCAGTTCGGCGCACCACGCGTGCCATTCCGAGAGAGGTAAGACGTCTGCTGGGGTGGTGCGCAGCAGGTAGCCGATTCTGCGGCTGATGCAACGAGACAATAGCAGGAGGGCATGCTGTGGATGGATGGATGCTAAGGAGCCCAGGGGTGCCGCCGCGTCTGTCAGGGTACTGCCGACGAGGTCAGAGCAGAAGCGCTGTGACCCCACAGGGCTTCCCAACACCCGTACCCCGTCGTGGGTGAGGGGAAGGCCCTCGGGGAGCTCGCCACCTTCAAGCGGCGAGGAGGACCACGCCGAGGACTTTCTGAGGTTGCAGGTGAGGCCATCCTGGGCTAGCAGCGGCTTCCGATCATGGTGATGTCGTCTGCATATGCTAGGACCGTGACTTCGGGGTGTTCTGCTGCTACGCGTCTGAGGTGCTGCTGGATTGATGCCGCGAACAGCAGGGGTCCAAGGGGATCCCCCTGCCTAACTCCCCTTCCGCTGGTGAGTGCCGTTGTGCTCAAGCGGGGATTGGTCAGCAGCTGTGAAGGCGTCGCGTAGAAGGAGCGTGTGAATGGGATGAGCGGGGCTAGCGAGGTGTTGGTGAGTGCGTTGAAGAACGCTTTCCTCTCTATGGAGTTGAAAGCGTTCTCAATGTCGAGTTGGAGGACTAGGCTGGATGGTTGTGAAGTGGTGAGGTCTCTGACTGCGTGGATAACGAACTCAGCCCCGCTTGGGACTGCCACGCCAAATTGTTGGGGTAAGAAAAATTGCCTTGTCTCTCCTTGCAGTTCTGAGAGTGCCACCTTTGCTGCCAGCCGAAGCAGGGATTCCCCTATCGCGATAGGGCGTACCCCCCCCCTGGTTTCGCGAAGGCGATGAGGCGGGATGGCGAGAGTAGAGCTGCAACCTCGGTGGAGAGATTCGTCGAGAGAAGGTGTGTTACGGCGGAGTGTAGGTGCCCTTGTACCTCGATGTTACTTAGAGCTGGGTCGCGGTGGTGTTCGAAAGTTGACCCTGACGGACCAGCCCCGATTCCGCTGGGACAATCCCCGAGGACGTTTGAGAAACTTTCTGCAGTGCACGAAAATTGCGTGGGTGTTGTGTAGGTGTGGACCCAGTCGGGCAGGTCAATCTGGGGTTGGGGATGTTTCGATTGTCGCAGGAGCTGCTGGCGAGGGTTGAAGGGCTGCCAACGCCTTTCGCATGTTACCCCATTTCATTAGCCCCTCCACGCGTGAGCAGATTCCCAGGGGGTCATGTTGGTGCTGAGGTGGCTCAGCTTGGTGCAGGGACCCCACGTAGTCACTGTACAGCTGGTTCCAGTGGCCACATCTGAATAGGTGCATCTGTGCAAGCAGCACCTTCCACCTAGAGCTGGACCTCCTGCTAAGTCGTAAGGTGAGACGTGGCAGGAACATGAGGACCCGCCACGCTCCCGTGCAGTTCGGCAGCTTGGAGTTTCGTAGGAGGGCGGCCAGCATACAGGTGGAGTAATCGCTTAGGATCTGGGGCGGGAGGCGGCGGACGATAGGCAGGTGAGTGGTCGAGGTTAGGATCGTGGCGTCCCAGCTCATCACGATCTCAAAGAGATCCTCCCGCGAAGCCAGCTGGGACGCCGATAGGGCCTGGTCCGGGGGGGGTTGGGGTCTGCGATTCTGTCTGCGGCCAGATCCTCTCTCCTGCTGCTGCGCCTGCTCCTCCCCCGGTTCCGCTCGAGGTGAGTCAGGATTGTCAGGCTGCCTCAGATGTGACGGCACATAATCGTCGCCACTCCCCTCTGTGTTTGTATCGCTGATTCTCCCTGCTTGCGCTGACGTTCATCCTCTCGCCCCTCGCCTAGCGAACCACTGGCGTGTGACTCGTTCCGCCGGCTCCCCCAACCAGATTGGGCTCGGCACTTGGCGCGGAGGTCCCCTTGCCACTTGGCCTGCGCTCCGCTGTCCTCCGCGCGCTCCTCGACGCCCGCCTCTCCCCCGCGTGCTTCCCCGTCCGCTCCGCGGAGTGGCTGCCACCGGTGCCGCCTCTTGCGCCTGGGAGATTGGCGTTATCGGCTCGTCTCATGGCAGTGGCGCGCCTTGAGCGGGGGGCGATGGACTTCCTTGGTGCTCTGGGTCGCGACTGCGCCGCGGCGATTGATCCTGCTCCCCGTCCGCTTCCTCCTGCACGTCCTGCCGCGAGCGTACCTGTTGCTCCGCCGGCGTCTGCGGATGAGATCCGTCGGCGCTTTGAGGATCAGCGGCGGGATCTGGTATGATGCACCACACTCACCCGTGGATGGCGATATTTGAAGGTTGCCCGCTTATTGTTGTGGCAGTCGGCCACTGGAACCTCCTCCACATCCCCCTCAGAGCACAGAGGGCAAGCATACGCACTGTACCACGACACCTCATACGCACACCCCGGCACCACCCCGTCACCTCCCCCTCACAAACCCACACTCACCCTTGGGTGCCGGTACTTGTAAGTCGCTCGCTTGTTGGTATGGCAGTCTGCCACTGGAACCTCCTCCACGTCTTCTTCAGAGCACAGAGGGCAAGCATACGCACTGTACCACGCCAGCTCATATGCACACCCCAGCACCACCCCCTCACCAACCAACCCACCGCCTCAATCTCTCCCTTGCTGACTGCTAGGGTTATACAAATACAGACTCACACTCACCCTTGGATGGCGGTACTTGTAAGTCGCTCGCTTGTTGTTGTGGCAGTCTGCCACTGGTACCTCCTCCACGTCTTCTTCAGAGCACAGAGGGCAAGCATACGCACTGTACCACGCCAGCTCATATGCACACCCCAGCACCACCCCCTCACCAACCAACCCACCGCCTCAATCTCTCCCTTGCTGACTGCTAGGGTTATACAAATACAGACTCACACTCACCCTTGGATGGCGGTACTTGTAAGTCGCTCGCTTGTTGTTGTGGCAGTCTGCCACTGGTACCTCCTCCACGTCTTCTTCAGAGCACAGAGGGCAAGCATACGCACTGTACCACGCCAGCTCATATGCACACCCCAGCACCACCCCCTCACCAACCAACCCACCGCCTCAATCTCTCCCTTGCTGACTGCTAGGGTTATACAAATACAGACTCACACTCACCCTTGGATGGCGGTACTTGTAAGTCGCTCGCTTGTTGTTGTGGCAGTCTGCCACTGGTACCTCCTCCACGTCTTCTTCAGAGCACAGAGGGCAAGCATACGCACTGTACCACGCCAGCTCATATGCACACCCCAGCACCACCCCCTCACCAACCAACCCACCGCCTCAATCTCTCCCTTGCTGACTGCTAGGGTTATACAAATACAGACTCACACTCACCCTTGGATGGCGGTACTTGTAAGTCGCTCGCTTGTTGTTGTGGCAGTCTGCCACTGGTACCTCCTCCACGTCTTCTTCAGAGCACAGAGGGCAAGCATACGCACTGTACCACGCCAGCTCAAACGCACACCCCGGCACCACCCCCTCACCAACCAACCCACCGCCTCAATCTCTCCCTTGCTGACTGCTAGGGTTATACAAATACAGACTCACACTCACCCTTGGATGGCGGTACTTGTAAGTCGCTCGCTTGTTGTTGTGGCAGTCTGCCACTGGTACCTCCTCCACATCTTCTTCAGAGCACAGAGGGCAAGCATACGCACTGTACCACGCCAGCTCATACACACACCCCGGCACCACCCCATCGCCTCCCCCCTGTGTGACGGGGACTGGGTCGCCCCCCCGCTTGGTCCAGGCGGGGAAGGGGAGGGTCGTGTTGAACGCTGCCCGCCTGCCTTCTTCCGTCCAGGGAGAGGGGTGGCCGATGCCTGCGAGGGGAGGGAGGAGGGAATCAGTGGAATTGGGGGATTTCAGAAAGAGAGAACAAAGAATTAAAGATGGGGCTAGATGGAAGGTTGCATGCTTGCTCCACCATTCCCCTCTATCTCATACACCCACAATTCCCCTCCTCTCACACACACACCCACAATTCCCCTCCTCTCACTCACCTGCACTCGGGCCACAGATGGAACGCGATCATCAGTTGCCCATACCTCTGGGTGACTTTTGAGTCGACTCGAAAATTCCCCTCCTCTTGAGTCGACTCAAAAGTCACTCTCACTCACCTGCACTCGGGCCACAGATGAACGCGATCATCAGTTGCCCATACCTCTGGGTGACTTTTGAGTCGACTCGAAAATTCGCCTCCTCGAGTCGACTCAAAAGTCACTCTCACTCACCTGCACTCGGGCCACAGATGGAACGCGATCATCAGTTGCCCTTACCTCTCATTCCTCTTTCTCCATGCTGGCACTGCCACTTACCCTCCACCTAGCCTCACACACACCCACCACACCCACCCCCCTTCTTCTCTCTCACCTGCATTCGGGTCGCATATGAAAGTGATTGTCAGCCGCCCATACCTCTCCTCCCCGCCCTCCCCCTTCCCCTTCCCCTTCCCCTTCTCCGCATCCCCCCCCATCCCCCACCTGCTCTGCTCCCCCCCGCCCCCCTGCACAGAGAAGGGACATTTTTCCCCTTCCAGTACCATCACCAGTCCCCTCCGCGCAAGGATGGGGTCAGGGCGGTGGGGAAGGGGGTCGGTGGCGTTTGGAGGGTGCGAGAGGGGAGAGAGGGGGAAGAGGGAGACACGGTCGCCTAGACTGTGAGATCCTCTGTGCTGCTCGTCCAGCATCACCTGAGGATTCACCTGAACGCAACAGACAAGGGGAGGAGGGCACGGGAAGGGGAAGGAAGGAAGATGGAATGAGTTGGGGAATGTGCAACATTGGTGAATGAATCTGACCACCAAGTGACAGATTTGAGACCTCTTAAAACTCGATGGGAGATGAGATGAGAAGGGCGCAGCATTGCATCGGTGACCTCCCTTCCACTTCTCCCATTCATTACCACTAGTGATTAGCAACATTGGTGAACCAGACCACAGAGTGAAACATGCTCATGAGTCGTGCTGCTCAAAACTTGCCGCATTTCACGAGCGCTTTCAAAACTCACCCGACATTCCATGGTCGCTATCGGCTTGCCTTCTGCATCAGTACACTCCACCGCCCTTTCCTTCCCCCGATTCCTCACTTCCCCTGCTTCACTCTTCCATCCCTTCCTCTCTTCCCCTCCTTCCTCTCTCCCCCATCTCTCTTTCATTCAGACTCACCCGACATGCCATGGTCGCGATTGGCTTCCCCTTCTGAATCCGTACACTGAGGTGTATTTTGAGGCGCCTCAAAATAATCCGTACACTCCACCACCCTTCCCTTCTCCTCCTTCCTCTCCCCCCCTCGTCTCTGTCATTCAGACTCACAAAATAATCCGTACACTCAACTCCACCACCCTTCCCTCCCGGATCCCTCTTCCCCCCGTTTCTTCACTGTCATTCAAGACTCACCCGACACGCCATGGTCGCTATCGGCTTCCCTTCTGCATCAGTACACTCCATCGCCCTACCCTTTTCCTTCTTCCCCTCCGTTCCCTCCCCACCCTCTGTGCTCCCCGCCTCTTTCTCCCCGGTCTCTGTGTTGCCAGCAGGTGCGGCACACACGGACACAAAGTACAGTGGCCCGTGCTGGCGATCCGCAGCCGTTGGATCCTCGAAGATCGGCCCGAACATGCGGCCAGGATGGACGCGGGAGAGAGGGGAGAGATCGTAGACGATTGGAGGGGAGGAAGCGGATGGAATGGAGGGGGCGGGGGTGCTTGTGGTGGCGGTAGTGTTGGTGGTGGTGTTAGCATTAGCTTCACTTGTGCTGGTGGTGGCGGTGGTGCTGCTACTGCTGGGGGTGGTCGGTTCGGAAGCTACTTGGAAGGTGCAGAAGGAGGAGGGGACAGTGACGTCACCAACAGTGCAAGCAGTGCTGCCTGGGAGGGACGAGGTGCCCGGGCCACAGGGGAGGCACGAGGAGTGGGTGCCCTGGTGGGGAAACGGAAGGGGGTTGCGGGAAAGAGGAGAATGGAAAAGGGAAATGAGAATCAATTGGACAGGCACTCGTACAAGCTGTGCTGCCTGGGATAGACATGAGCAAAAATTCGAACCCCTGTTCAGTTCGACTCAAAAGTGTTCGACCCGAACGTGTTCGAATGGTTTTTTTGCCCAGAATTGTTCGTGACGAACACCTTGGTGTTTGTCACAGACACGTTCGACTGTTCGAGTGTTCGTGTGCAGAAAAATGCACGAACACCTAGGTGTTCGCGAACACAATATGTTCGTCGCAAACACCTAGGTGTTCGTGCATTGTTCTGTGTGTCAAAGTTTGACAGGCTGGTTGGATCTAAAAGGGGAGGGCGACGATTGAGCTCAAGAATTAGCTCTATCGTCGATATAGCCTAAGGATGACATTCCGCCCCCTACCCACTTAAACTAACAAATTCCCATGGTTAAAATTCCACATTGTGGCTGGAAACGTTAGGTATAAGGTTGGATTAGGGTAGGAGACGGTTAAAAGAAGGAACTAAGGGCATTACGGTTTAGGTTGGAGTTTAGCTGGGCGAAATTGGATATCCACCAGATCTGCGTCAAGCCTAACTATATCTCTTGTAGGGCTATAGGGAACGTGATATTGCTTCTAGTACTCTGGCCCTGCCTGAATGTGACTACACTGAAAGAACCCCCCAAGGCAAACTGTTCGAGTTCGGGTCAAACACCTTAGTGTTCGGGCTTGCCTCAAAACTGTTCGACCCTATACTCGAACGGGGAACACTAACATTTAGGAAAACTGTTCGAGTCAGACGTGTTCGGTTCGGTTCGAATTGACCAACTGTTCGCAAACTGTTCGAGACAAACGTGTTCGGTTCGCTCGTTGCTCATGTCTGGCCTGGGAGGCACGAGGTGCCGGGGCCACAGGGGAGGCAAGAGGAGTGGGTGCCCTGGTGGGGAAACGGAAGGAGGTTGCGGGAAAGAGAAAAGAGGAATGGAGAATGGAAAAGGGGAATGAGAATTATTTGGACAGGCACTCGTGCAAGCTGTGCTGCCTGGGAGGGACGAGGTGCCGGGGCCACAGGGGAGGCACGAGGAGTGGGTATCGTGGTAGGAAGGAGAAAGGGAGTGGGAGAGGGAATGGGAGTAAGAGTAGGAGTGGGTAAGACAGGCACATGCACGGAAGCAAAGCTGGGCGGGACAAGGTGCCGGGGCCACAAGGGAGGCAGGCAGAGTGCCGTGGTGCGATGGAACGAAAGAGAATGGGAATGGGGATGGGGATGAGTGGGGTGGAACAGGCACACATGGGACAGGCAGGCACACAACTACAAGCTGCACTGCCTGGGAGGGACAGACAGGCACACAACTACAAGCTGCACTGCCTGGGAGGGACAGACAGGCACACAACTACAAGCTGCACTGCCTGGGAGGGACGAGACGAGGTGCCTGTCGGGGCCACAGGGGAGACGAAGTGGGTGCCCTGGTGGAAAGGGGAAAGAAGAATGAGTTTGGCAAATGGACGCCCAACCAAGAATACTGGTCCAGTTGGTTGGGCACGCCCAACCAAGAATACTGGTCCAGTTGGTTGGGCACGCCCAACCAAGAATACTGGTCCAGTTGGTTGGGCACGCCCAACCAAGAATACTGGTCCAGTTGGTTGGGCACGCCCAACCAAGAATACTGGTCCAGTTGGTTGGGCACGCCCAACCAAATGTGCCGTGCCAGGCCCACGAGGTGCTGTGCCAGGCCACAGGTCAGCTTTTGAGGCGCCTCAAAAGTCGCCTAGAAAAATCGACCAAATGTGCCGTGCCAGGCCCACAAGGTGCTGTGCCAGGCCACAGGTCAGACAGGAGTGGCCACTCCTGGGCCTGGCCCAGGGCGCCCTGGGCCTGGTGTGAGGCAGGAGGAGGTTGCGTTTTGAGACATCTCAGGACTTGATGGAGAACAAGCAGGGGGACAGGGCTAAGTGACGATGGGAAATAACGTGTAGAGAGGGTGTTTTTGAGACATCTCAAAAACATCTCAGAACCTGATCACGTGTAGAGAGGGTGTTTTTGAGACATCTCAAAAACATCTCAGAACTTGATCACGTGTAGAGAGAGGGTGTTTTTGAGACATCTCAAAAACATCTCAGAACTTGATCACGTGTAGAGAGGGTGTTTTTGAGACATCTCAAAAACATCTCAGAACTTGATCACGTGTAGAGAGAGGGTGTTTTTGAGACATCTCAAAAACATCTCAGAACTTGATCACGTGTAGAGAGGGTGTTTTTGAGACGTCTCAAAGACATCTCAGAACTTGATCACGTGTAGAGAGGGTGTTTTTGAGACGTCTCAAAGACATCTCAGAACTTGATGGAGAACAAGCAGGGGGTCAGGGCTAGGTGACAATGGGAATTCTTGGCGCCTCAAGAAAAGGACAGGCAGGGAATCTGTAACTTTCTGGGTGCTAATGGGACTGAACTGAAATGCAGGAATTGATGGGAGTTGAAGAGATAGAAATAGTTTGTTGATACGGGTTTGGTGCTAGCGATGGGTTCAGAGGAGTGCAGAGGGGGTACCTTGGGTCTTGGGTTGAAGGTGTTGGCAGGGCATTTTACACACGGCAGACCCGACCCTTCGCTGTACTCTCCTGCTCATACAGTCACACACATGAAGAACAATCACAGTCACAATCAGGAGAACATGAGTAAGACTTCGGGGAAAGGAAATATGGGAATCTGGAACATGGGGGGCTGGAAAGGAAATAGGAGAGGAAATGAGAAAAGAGGATGAACCAAGTGGTCTACCCGGTGAGGATGGTGGGTGGGGTGGGGTCAGGAGTTGTTGCAGGGAGATGGCCACACAGGCGGGCACTAGTAGTGCCGCACTACCCCCCGCTCCCCTTCCCCACAGTGCTGGCCCACCCGGTGATGCCCAGGATTCCCGCAGAGTCCCTCTTGGGGTATTACAATAATACAATACAAGGATATACCAGCCCAGATCCCAATGGGGTGTTACAAGAACGTACCAGGCGGACAGGGTTTCCAGGTGAGGGTGGCAGGGTCGGGTCGGGGGCAGTGCCAGGGGGAATGGGCACACAGGCAGGCGCACCCCCCACAGTGCTGCCCAAAACGGTGATGTTTAGGAGGAGGAGAGGGGCCTACAAGAGGCATGGGGTGTTACAAGAACCTACCAGGAGGACAGGCCTTCCGGGTGAGTGTGGCAGGGTTGGGGGCAGTGCCAGGCGGAATGGGCACACAGGCAGGCGCAACCCCCCACAGTGCTGCCCCACACGGTGATATCCAGAAGGAGGAGAGGAGCTTACAAGAGGCATGGGGTGTTACAAGAACCTACCAGGAGGACAGGCCTTCCAGGTGAGGGTGGCGGCATCCGGAGCTGTGCCAGGGGGAATGGGCACACAGGCAGGCGCAACCCCCCACAGTGCTGCCCCACACGGTGATATCCAGGATCTCCGTGGAATCCAGCTTGGGGTGTTCTTACAATACAATACAAGGACATACCAGGCGGACAAGGCTTCCAGGTAAGGGTGGTGGGATCCGGACCTGTGCCAGGGGGAATGGGCACACAGGCAGGCGCTTCCCCCACGGTGCTGCCTCAGACGGTGATGTCCAGGATCTCCGCAGGCAGAGCCCTTCTTGTATTATTACAATACAATACAAGGACGTACCAGGGGGACAGGCCTTCCATGTGAGGGTGGCGGGGTCAGGAGCAGTGCCAGGCGGAATGGGCACACACGCAGGCGCGCCCCCCACCGTGCTGCCCCACACGGTGATATCCAGGATCTCCGCAGAGTCCCGCCTGGCGATCGCCTTGTCAGCGTTGAGCGTCACCCAGATCCACATCAGACTGTGGTTGCCAGCTGGCAGCGGCCACGTGTCGCTGGTTGTCGGGCCGGCCGGCGCCGAGCCGGCACCCTGCTCGTCCTGCCAAGGGAGTGAGGATTAGATAAAGAGGACAGGCGCTTTTGAAACGCCCCAAAAAGCGAGTTTTGATTAGAGGTGCCTCAAAGCTTGTTGCCGGGCCGGCCGGCTCTGAGCCGTCACCCGCCTCTTCTGTCCAGCAGTGGAGAAGATAATAAAGAGGATGAAGATGATAAGAGGATAAAGAGGATGGGAATGCGATCTGGAGGAAGGGGCTGGCAACTGCATGCAATGACTAGCAGCCTAGCAGCAAGCCACCTGCAGAGGGGCTAGCACTGAGCCTTCACCCGCCTTGTCCTGCAATGGGGAAGAGAATAAAGAGGAGCCGTCTCAATGAAATAGTTGAAGTGGGCGATCCCTCTCTGTCTGTACTACCACCACACCAACACGTTTCTCAGTGTTCACCACCAGCTGCTCATTTTTTGACGTACAAGAGAGCGACTCTGTTACGAGTTTTGAGGCGCCTCAAAGCTCACCTCAATGCTCACCTCAATGCTCACCACCACCTGCTCATCAATGTACGTACAAGAGAGATCAAGATTCATAATGGGAGTAGCAGCGAACTTGTGAGAAAACGCTTAGCAAAAGGATCAAGACTTTTGATACTTGTTCCTTGAGATTAAAAGAAAATCTCAAAGCCTCAAAGCTCACCTCAATGTTCACCACCACCTGCTCATCAATGTACGTACAAGAGAGAGACCTTGTTATCTTGGGTCCTCTTTCTGGGGACACCTTCTCTGCTACGGGTCGCATCACACGTTGCAGTGCAGTGCTGCGCAGTGCTGAGCAGTGCTGAGCAGATCGCATGTGACTCAGCACATAGCAAGTTAGCAACCCATCCCCCCCTCACCTCGATGTTGAGCACCAGCTGGTCATCCACATAGAGGAAGAGTCCTCTCTGCAGGTCAGGGTGGCAGCCTGAGGGGGGCGAGCTCTGTCTGTCTGTATTACTACCATACCTTGACGCACCTCGATGTTGAGCACCAGCTGGTCATCCACGTAGAGGAAGAGTCCTCTCTGCAGGTGGCTTGCTGCTAGTGCTCGGTGGGTTGCCCCTTAAGCTATATTGCATCTGAGTGAACACGATCATAACCCACAACTCAACTCACCTCGATGTTCAGCACCAGCTGGTCATCCACATAGAAGAAGAGCCCTCTCCGCAGGTGGCTTGCTGCTATTGCAGTGGGTTGCCCCACCAATTCGCATCCGAGTCAACATAGTAACAACCCAACCCACACACAGCAGAGAACTCACCTCAATGTTGAGCACCAGCTGGTCATCCACATAGAAGAAGAGCCCTCTCTGCAGGTCCCCCCGTGGAATGTCCACGTCGTAGGCAAACGTGATGTGCCCATCCACTGCCATGCTGACATCGTAGGACAGCCACACCTGGTGCATTAGGGGGGAGGGGAGGAATGAAGAAGTGGAGGAGAGAAGAGCAGAGAAGAGCCCTCTCTGCAGGTCCCCCCACGAAATATCCACGTCATAGGCGAATGTGACGTGCCCATCCACTGCCATGCTCACATCATAAGACAGCCACACCTGAAGGGGACGGGGGGCGAGGGGAAGAAGGTGATGCCAGGCAAGGAAACAGCGGAGAGCAGCTGTGTGTTGACCAGGCAGGTCCCCTCATGCGGAAATTCCAAAGATTAGGGACACGAGGAGAAGAAAGCAGGCAGCTTTTTAAGGAGACAGGTGGCACTATTCCATAAAGTCACGTCTTACAGAAGCACTCTTGCCGTGGTTGCTGCCAGAGTCCAGCTTTCCGTTCACCACTCTCCACCCCAGCGAACCGCAGTCACCGCTGCACCCGGTCACAAAGCCGTCAGGAAGCTTCCCCCGGTGCAGCTCAAAGTGGTCCATGGTGAGGGCCTTCACCGCCACCTCTCCCGGAGGGCACTTGCGGCACGGTTTGCTTGCTGTGGAGGTGGTGGCGTTGCGTGCCAGACCCTGGGATTGGAGGGCGTGAGAGGGAGTAGGTGGAAATAGAAATGGCGTGGTGAGAAGGAGCTCAAAGTGGTCCATGGTGAGGGCCTTCACTGCCACCTCCCCCAGAGGGCACTTGCGGCACACTTGCGGCAGGCTTTATACGTTGGGGAGCTAGACGCATTGCGAGCCAGGCCCTGTGGTTGGACAAGGCAAGGCAGTGTGTGGGACGGGGTGCGGGGAAGGAGTAGGAAAGGTGTGGTGGAAGGAAGGATGCAGCTCAAAGTGGTCCATGCTGAGGGCCCTCACCGCCACCTCTCCAGGGGGACACTTGCGGTGCGGCAGGCTTTGTCTGTGGGAGAGGTGGAGGTGTTGCGAGCCAGGCCCTGTGATTGATTGGAAGGGAGGGGGAAACAGGAAGGCCGCTTTGAAAGGAAAGCTGTGACAGTGCTGGAAAAAAGGGAGCTCAAAGCCAAAGTGATCCATGGTGAGCGCCTTTACCGCCACCTCCCCTGAGGGGCACTTGTGGCACGCTTTATCTTCGGAGGCAGTGGTAGCTAGCGTTGCGTGCCAGGGCCTGGGGTTGGATGGTGTGGGAGGGAGTGGGTGGATATGGAAAGGAGGGTGTGCTGGAAGGAAGGATGGAGTTCAAATCAAAGTGGCCCATGGTGAGAGAGGGCCTTCACCACCGCTACTTTTGAGACGTTTCAGAACTAGTTCACCACTACCTCTCCTGGGGGTCACTTGTGGCACGGTTTGTTTGCTTGTTGAGGAGGGGGTGGCGTTGCGTGCCAGCCAGGCCCCGACTTTTGAGGCGCCTCAAAAAAAACAAAAACAAAAACAAAAACAAAAAATGGTTGCTTGTTGAGGAGGGGGTGGCATTGCGTGCCAGCCAGCCAGGCCCGGCCCCGACATGGAAAGTTGCAGGGGGGGAGAGGAGGGAAAGATACGAGGGAATCAGGTTGAGAGTAGCTCGAAGTGGTCCATGGTGAGGGCCTTCACTGCCACCTCCCTCGGAAGGCACTTGGAGGGCTTGTTGTAGCATGCTTCAACTGCAGGGGAGGAGGAGGGATTGTGTGCCAGGCCCTATAATTGAATTCGGAAGTGGGTTGGGTTGGGGTGGGGTGTAAGAGTAGGCAGAAGAATACAATGTAGGCAGAACCTAATGGTACACGTGTTCAGCGGCAAAACTGGGTTTCGTTTTTTTTTCTTTTCTTTTCTTTTCTTTTCTTTCTTTCTTTCCGGTTTTTCCACCGGCCCTACCAGCCCTCGGCAATATGGTACAGTGAAACACCAGAAAAAATGTACCACACATGTACACGCGCGACCAAACTCACCGGTGGGCAGAAGTGGCAGAGTCTGGTGCGAGTGGTGCTGTCCTCCACAGCGTACTGACCCGAGGGGCATGGCGCTGTGGTTCGGGGGGAAGGGAAAAGAAGAGAGCACACAAGACAAGTGCCAAAGTCTGGTGCATGGGTTGCTGTCACATGAGGCACAGTCTGGTGCGCATGGTGCTGTCCTCCATAGCGTATTGACCCGAGGGGCAGGGGGCTTTGGAAGGGGGAAGGTAGCATGGGAGGAGGAGGAGACGCATAGGAGGGGAGGGGATGCACACACATGTTCATGAAGATCACAGCCTCACACCATCATAATCAGCATCAATACCATCATCTCCATCCGACCAGTACCATCATTACCATCACGATACAAGCTGTGTGACTCTTGACAGCATGCCAGCACTGCACTGCACTGCACTGCACTGCACTGCACTGCACTGCACTGCACTGCACTGCACTGCACCACACACAGACAAACAATCCTCATTAAATCTATCCAAACACTGTCCATCTATCTATCCACAAGGCATCACCAGCTTGGCATGGCACTCACGGCACGGCTCGTGGGTGTCAGCAGGAAGGTCCTCACTCTCTGAGAGGGGCGCGCAGATTATATAAGCTTTGCGGCTCTGACTGACAGCATGCCTGCACTGCAATGCACTGCACTGCACTGCACTGCACTCACACATAGACGGCAATCCCCACACCATGGCACTCACGGCATGGCTCATGGGTGTCAGCAGGAAGGTCCTCGTCCTTTGAGAGGGGCGCGCAGATGTGCGGCGTGACTCAGGTAGCATGCTGCCAGCACCCACTCACACAGAAAGCTCTTCTGCACTCACACCCAGAGGCCAATGCAACACTCCCCACCACCATGGCATGGCACTCACGGCACGGCTCGTGGGTGTCAGCAGGAAGGTCCTCGTCCTCCGAGAGGGGCGCACAGATGTGCGGCGTGAGCCATTCCCAGGTCTGTACACGGGAGAGGGTGGTGGGGGTGGGGAAGGAAGAAGGGTGGAGCTGAGGGAAATGATGCGAGGTGAATGATTGAAAGCGGGCTGCAGATGTGGGGAGTGAGCCATGCCCAGGTCTGGAGGAGAGGGGTGTGTGGGTGGGGAAGGAAGAAGGATGGAGTTGAGGACAACGATGTGAGGTGAATGCATGAAAGCGGGTGCAGATGTGGAGAGTGAGCCATGCCCGGGTCTGGGGAAAGGATGGTGGGGGGAAGGAAGAAGGGTGGAGTTGAGGACAACGATGTGAGGTGAATGAATGAAAGCGGGTGCAGATGTGGAGAGTGAGCCATGCCCAGGTCTGGGGAAAGGGTGGTGGGGGGAAGGAAGAAGGGTGGAGTTGAGGACAACGATGTGAGGTGAATGAATGAAAGCGGGTGCAGATGTGGAGAGTGAGCCATGCCCGGGTCTGGGGAAAGGGTGGTGGGGGGAAGGAAGAAGGGTGGAGTTGAGGACAACGATGTGAGGTGAATGAATGAAAGCGGGTGCAGATGTGGAGAGTGAGCCATGCCCGGGTCTGGGGAAGGGTGGTGGGGGGAAGGAAGAAGGGTGGAGTTCAGGGAAATGATGTGAGGTGAATGCATGAGGGGAGCGCACAGATGTGCGGAGTGAGCCATGCCCAGGTCTGTACAAGGGACGGGTGGAGGGTTTCGAGTTGAGATCAATAATGTGCGGTGAATGAATGAGAGAGCGGCGTGCAGATGTGGGGGGTGTGCCAATGCTAGATGTGGATGGAGGGGAAAATGGGGGTCGCGGGGAGAGGGTGGAGGAAGGGGGAAGGGAGGAAGGGGTGGGGAGTGGATGTTCGAGGTGGGGGAGGGAATGGGGGCGTATAGGGGAGTGGTGTGAGGTGGATGAGTCAGAGGGATGAGCCGTGGCCAAGGGGAGGAGTTGTAAATGACAGAAGAGGCACCTTACAAGGTATGGAATACTATACAAAGATGCAGAAGCAGGACCAAGGAAGGAATGAGTTGGTGCGATGGTGTGAGGGGAGGCATATGAGGGACCGCCAACATTGGATTTCAGTCAAACAGGCAAGGCAACTTACTACACGGATCTTGATAAAAATGTCCTCACCGGATTACCTTCCATCCATTCTCTGAAATCTACTGTTTCCTTTCCTTCTGTGCATAGTTGAGATGCGATGCACAGAGACTCAACTTTATTCTCATCTCATCTCACCTTGATTCTCTGGTTGTCCACTGCGCTACAGTTGCCGTAGGTAGGGGCGGCATCCGTTGTCACATTGCACTCTGGCGAGTTGCCGAGGAGGGAGGGGTGCAGTGAAGGGGAAAAGGAGGTGGACGAGCAGCAACAGGCTCAGTGGCAGAAAAGGAAGGGAGTAGGGGGAGGGAGCTAGAGGAACTAGAGGGGGACAGAACGTGAGAGAAAAGAACTTAAGTCGCATGGATCATAAAACACGTTCTTTTAGCATTCCAAAAAAACGCCTGCAACAAGAGGGAGCTACGGGTGCTAGCAAACTGAACAAACTGAACCGAAGTCTCATGGATCATAGCAAAGCACCACCCACCACACATACGAAGCCTGGCAATGCAGTTGGCCCGAGGAGGCAACTGCGTGTATTCATCACTGCTGCATGGCTTGCACTCTCGGTTGGTGGGAAAACATGAAGTTCGAGTCGACTCTGAACTAGAGCTGCATTCACGTGATCACACAGAGTGCACGTACGAGGCCTGGCAATGCAGTTGGGCCGAGGAGGCAACTGCGCATACTCCTCAGCACTGCATGGCTTACACTCCCATGGGGAAGCCTGGTGGATATTGACTTGACTCAGGACTATAGTCACACTGATTGACAGCACTACCCAGCCCACACACACACGTACGAGGCCTGGCAGTGCAGTTGGCTTGAGGAGGGGACTGCGCATACTCTTCAGCACTGCATGGCTTGCACTCTCGGTGGGGAAGTGTGAGTGGAGTATGAGTTGACTCAGGTCAGGACTATAGTCACACTGATTGACAGCACTACCCAGCCCACACACACACGTACGAGGCCTGGCAGTGCAGTTGGCTCGAGGAGGGGACTGCGCATACTCTTCAGCGCTGCATGGCTTGCACTCCGGCCAGCCATCCCTGGTAAGGTATGGGTGGATGGATGATAGATGGGGTGGCATGTGCGTGTGATGGATGGGGTGCTGAGATGATTGCAGTAAAGGTGGTCAGCTTGTCAGCGCTGCATGGCTTGCACGCTGGGCAGGCCTCCCTGGGACAGTATTATGACGTGATATGATGGGGTGTAGCGGATCGGGTGACATTCGTGTGGCGTGATCGATGGGGTGGGGAAGTGAGATGAATTTGAACACTCAGGGCATGGCGGACACTCGGTAGAGCCCTCCTCACTGCAACAAGGAAGAAGCAACAGTGGATTGGCACGCCACACTGCATGGCTTAAACTGTAGCCAGCACCACCACCTGTACTGTATCACCCTCGACCCATCACCACCATCACTGGCACTCACTGTGAGTAGTGGTCGACAGGGCATGGCGCACACTCAGTAGAGCCCTCCTCACTGCAACAACGAAGAGCAAATGAAAATCAAACAAGCAGCACAACGGAAAACGGCACGGCATGGCCGGCAACTTCAGAGAATGCCAGGTGAAACGCTGAGTTGGTTCCGAACTAAAGTAAGGCCTATAATGCCTGAGAGCCTAAGCAGAACCACACCACGCATGCTCAGAAGCCGAATGGCACCACACTGCGGAACCGCGTGTATAAAGTGAGTTTTTGAGACGTCTCAAAAACTCACTCTTTACACTAACGCCTGAGAGCCTAAGCAGAACCACACCACGCATGCTCAGAAGCCGAATGGCACCACACTGCAGAACCGAGCATGTCAGAAGGGACAGAACTGCATGCCGTTTCACTCACTGCACTGCCACTGCCCCCTGCTTCCAGCCCTCCCACTGCCCCCTGCTTCCAGCCCTCCCACTGCCTCTGCCCCCTGCCATCCAGTGCCCACCACTTCCCACTCCCCGGCCCCACCAAAAACTAATATCTGGCCCCTGCTACTGTTCCCTGCCCCCTGTTACTCCGCTCACCTGTAGAAGCCTGCTTGGCACGGGAAGCACTGCCGGTCCGTGTAGTCAATCCCACCCACCTCTACCAGCTGCACGCACACAGGCAAGCAGCAACGGAAGGCAGGCAGGGAGGCAGGCAGGGAGGCAGGCAAGGAGGCAGGCAGGCGAGCACCTCAATAATGCCTTCGGAGGAGGTTGCCTTGCCTACCTACGGTCTGGTCAATGGATCCCCACGTAGGAGGCCTTAGGTCTCTTCATTCTTTACCTTTCTTTTTTCGTCTTCTTTCTTTACCTTTCTTTTTTCGTCTTCTTTCTTCTTCTTAGAGACGCTCATCATCCATGCCTCAGGTTCAGGTTCAGTTCAGTTCAGTTCAGGTCGTGCCTGCCTGCCCGCGCCGCACAGTCCCACATGTCGAAGGTTAATCTTGAGAATTCACAAAAACCACCCTTCGCTCATCATTCATGCGTCAGGTTCAGTTCAGGTCTTGCCTGCCCGCGCAGTCCCACTCCCACAAACTCACCTCACGTGCGGGGCAGCGGAGTCTCTCCCCTTGGTGAATTTAGAGTCCTTGTAACACACCCACCCACCCCAACGTGTGTGTAAGTGCATGCTTACACTGCATGGGAAGGTATCAGTCAGTCAGTGCCCCTGCTTCTTCTCACCCTCACAGCACAGCACACTCACGTGAAGGGCAGCAGAGTCTCTCCCCTTGGTGAACTTGGAGTCCTTGTAATACACCCACTCCAGCGTGTGAATGCCCGGCTCCAGCATTATTTGCACCTCCATTGGGTCAAACTGCAAAGGGGGGAAGGGTGGGATGAGCATTCGAGCCAGGATCTTTGTTCCTTCCTGCTTGCAATACACCCACTCCAGCGTGTGAATGCCCGGCTCCAGCATTATTTGCCCCTCCATTGGGTCAAACTGCAAAGGGGGGAAGGGTGGGATGAGCATTCGAGCTAGGATCTTTGTTCCTTCCTGCTTGCAATACACCCACTCCAGCGTGTGAATGCGTGACTCCATTATCTGCACCTCCATTGGCTCGAACTGGCGGGAGGGGAGGTTGGGTTGAGCAGGCAGGCAGGGGGGAGGGGGGGTACGTATGCTATTATATGGGGGAAGTGGGACGGATTGAGCAGGCAGCATAGGGAGGGAGCGTGTGTGCCTGGCTGGCTATATGGTCGTGCCTACTCGTAGAACAGTACACTGTACACCCACATTAGCACATGAACGCCCAGCTCACTGACCAGGAAGGCAAAGAACGAACCAGGAGGGCAGGTACGGCTCACCTGGTTGGACTCGAGCCCCATCATGGGCTCTGGTGAGGAATCAAGGAAGAAGCGCAGCTCGTCAAACTGAGGTGTCTCTAGAGTCGACCCGTTATTCACTGCCTCACACTAAAACAAAGTGAGCACCCAACCAGGATGACCAACCAGCTCACCTGGTTGGATTCGAGCCCCATCATGGGCTCTGGTGAGGAATCAAGGAAGAAGCGCAGCTCGTCAAAGTGAGAAGACGTCACCCAGTTGCGTTGAGACTCGAGAACTGACAAGTCTCTTGAGTCGACTCACAGGTCACACACAGGCTCACCTGGTTGGACTCGAGGCCCATCAGGGGCTCTGGTGAGGAATCAAGGAAGAAGAGCAGCCCATCGAATTTGTGCTCTGCGCTCACTGTGAAGAGATACCGGATGTAGCTGCGAGTGGGATGGGGCATGGGGTGCAAGGATGGGGCAGGCAAGGGGTAGTGGAAGATCAGAGGAGAGGGGAAGAAGGAGAGCAGCCAATCAAACTTGTGCTCTGCGCTCACTGTGAAGTGGTACCGGATGAAGCTGGGGGTTGCGGGGTATGGGTGTTGCGGGGGAGGGGAGGAAGAGGAACAGCAGCAATCCAACTTATTCACTGCGCTCACTGTGTGAAGCGGTAGTGTATGAAGCTGAGGGTAGAGATGGGGACTGGGGTGGGGATTGGGGTGGGGGAACGAGGATATCTATTAGGCTCTTCACTCGAACTTGTGCTCCGCGCTCACTGTGAAGCGACACCACAGTGGTGAAAACGGGGGAGGGGCCAGTCGTGAAGAAGAGTCAAAGTGAAACAGAGGATTGCTTGTAAGGATAGGAAGGATCAGCCGGTCAGATTGGTGCGTCGTACTCATTGTGAAAGTGGAATGGATAATGATGGATGTACCCGCAATGTTGGGAACAGGTGTCGAGATGTAAACTTGGTTGGGCACGCGGCAGAGATTGCTTCGGAGGAACATGCGAGTGATGTCTCGAACTTGCACAGCCCTCACTTGTATGAAGAAGGGTTTTGAGACGTCTCAAAACCCATTTTCCTGTCATACCCTGACTTCTTTCTACGTCTCAAAACCCATTTTCCTGTCATACCCTGACTTCTTTCTACGTCTCCAAACCCTTCTTCATACACGAGTGATGTCTCAAACTTGCACAGCCCTCACCCTCTCACTCACTCACCCCCCGATGTAATGAGCTCCACTTGCATGCCACTCACCCCGATCAGATGGTGTGGGGGCAAACACGGGTGAGTGGGTGATGTGTGATGCTGTGAAATTGCACAGCACTCACTCACTCACTCACCCCCATGTAATGAGCTCCACTTGCATGCCACTCACTCACCCCCATGTAATGAGCTCCATTTGCATGCGCAGCGACGCACGCAGGTTGTTGTGGCAGTTGTACGACCCCAGAGAACAGTCGTCCTGCACAGCACAGATGGAGAGACGCAGGTGGCACGAGGGATATGGGGATGAGGGATGCAAGGGACAGGTTGTTGTGGCAGTTTTAGGAGCCGAGGGAGCAGTCGTCCTGTGAAGTGGGATTAGGGGGAGTGAGACGAGTGATATGATATGAGGGAGGAAGTATGAGCAGCGGCATGCGGGAGCGAATGAGCAGGTTGTTGTGGCAGTTGTACGACCCCAGAGAACAGTCGTCCTGCACAGCACAGATGGAGAGAAGCAGGTGGCACGAGGGATATGGGGACGAGACGAGGTAACAGTGGGATGCAAGGGACCGTGAAAAGCAGGTTGCCGTGGCAGTTGTACAACCCCAGGGAGCAGTCTTCCTGTGAATTGGGATGAGGGGGAGTGAGAGGAGTGATATGATGTGAGGGAGGAAATATGAGCAGTGGCATGAGGGAGCGAACGAGCAGGTTGCTGTGGCAGTTGTTGTAGGACCCCAGGGAGCAGTCGTCCTGCGCAGATGGAGAAAAGCAGGTGCCACGAGGGATATGGGGAGAGGATGTGCTAACAGAGGGATGCAAGGGACCGAAGGGTGGGAGCAGGCTGTTGTGGCAGTTGTTGTAGGAGCCCAGGGAGCAGTCATCCTGCACAGCACAGATCGAGAGAGAAGCAGGTGGCACGAGGGATATGGGGATGAGGTAACAGAGGGATGCAAGGGACCGTAATGAGCAGGCTGCCGTGGCAGTTGTAGGACCCCAGGGAGCAGCAGACGTCCTGCACAGCACAGGGGGAGAGAGGTAGGTGATGCGGGTGGAAGGAAGAGCCAGAGGGGTATAAGAGGGGTTGCAATGGCAAGTTGGAGTGGCATGGCAGGTTGCAGTGGCAGGTTGCAGTGGCAGGTTGTGGTGTTGTGGCAGGCAGTTGTACGTTTCCAGGAAGCTGGTCGTGCTGTCGCCGAGCTAGATTGAAGCGATATGAGGGTTCAGAGACAAGGGCATGAGGAATGTGACCTTTGAGGCGCCTTAAGACTCATCCACTTGGCGGGGTGTGACAGTTGTAGCACTCACGGGAGCAGCTGCGTGAGTGAGCCAACAATTTGCACTAGACTACCTACAACAGGGACAGTTTGAGCTCTGAGAAATCTAAAAAGTCAAAGGCTTGTGTTTAGCAAGCACTCGAGCCTTACCGGATACCATTCATTGGGTGGGTCGTATGGGCCTGCTTTGAGCTGACCGTCTGCTGCATACCACCTGTTGGGTTGGGGGGGCGGTGAGACGCACCAAGGAAAGGGAGTATGGGTTGTGGGATGACTGCTGTCTTATAGGCGCCTCAAGAACCGGGTTGCCGTACGGGCCAGCTTTGAGCTGGCCGTCTGCTGCATACCACCTGTTGGGAGGGCGGTGAGAAGCAACGGATAATTGTGAGCATATGGATGGCTATTGAGTAAATTCAATTAAGCCTCCGTCACTGAAGCGCCTCAGATTAGAAAGAGGCCTGAGTATGAGCTGGACTACTGACGCATGCCATACCACAAGCTGTTGGAAGCGATGAGAAAGCACCACGGGAGGCGATGCAGTCTCATCTCATATTAGGCCTTTTGGTCCTCTTGCTTGGGCCAGCCAGGCCAGGCACATAGGCCTAGTTTTTCGCGTTTGAAAATGAACGGGAGCTTGAGGCGCCGACACATAGGTTTGCATGAGTGGTGCATAGAGAGGGCCTCACCCGAATTTTGAGTCGACTCAAAAGTCGCATGAGTGGTGCATCGAGATGGCCTTACCCGTCGCACTTGAATGAACCGGAGGAGTTGGAGTGGGTGCAGTCCGTCTGGCGGTGAAAGGGAGGGATAGAGAGCGGTAGAAAATATACAAATAAATATATTATATATGCATATCTATGCCATATATCATGTATCATGTTAAAATGCACGACTCATTCTAAATTCGAGTCAGTCTGCAAGTCCAAGCAAGTCAAGGTTTCCCGTTCCCTGATCGTACCGCAGGAACAACCGGGGCCATGAGGCTTATATTGAGGCGCCTCCATAGCGAACTTCAAGGTGCCTCAGAAACTACCGTACCACCAAGTACCCAGCTTTACCTGGAACAACCGATCGTCAAGCTCATAGAAAGCATCGAAACGAATTCCCCATATTGTACGTGCCAGGCTTGCACTTACTTGTCATCATGGGTCTAAACCACTGCACTGCCAAGCCAGACAACCATACCTGGAACAACCGGTCATCAAGCTCATAGAAAGCATCGAATCGAATTCCTCCCCCCATGCTGTACGTGCCGGGCTTGCACTTGCGGCACTTGTCCCCGTCCAGGTAGGAACCAGCAGGACAGGTCATATCTGTGGAGGGAGGGAGGGGAGGGTACATGGGATGGGCATGATGTCATCATGTGTGCCGGCTGTACGTGCCGGGCTTGCACTTGCGGCACTTGTCCCCGTCCAGGTAGGAACCAGCAGGGCAGGTCATGGTCATGTCTGTGGGGGGAGAGGAGGGGTACATGAGATGTGGCATGGGGAGGGGGGGGATGCATGGATGTTCATCTTGTGTGCTCTGCTGTACGTGCTGGGCTTGCACTTGCGGCACTTGTCCCCGTCCAGGTAGGAACCAGCAGGGCAGGTCATGTCTGTGGGGGGAGAGGAGGGGTACATGAGATGTGGCATGGGGAGGGGGGGGATGCATGGATGTTCATCTTGTGTGCTCTGCTGTACGTGCTGGGCTTGCACTTGCGGCACTTGTCCCCGTCCAGGTAGGAACCAGCAGGGCAGGTCATGTCTGTGGGGGGAGGGGAGGGGAGAGGGAGGGGTACATCAAACAGACGGATGACGTGTCATGTGTGCTCTGCTCTGTGTGTCAGGCTTGCACTCGCAGCGATTGCCACCATGCAGATGGGAATCAGCGGGACAGGTCATGTCTGTTGGCGAGAGGGGGGGGTTGCGGGGGGTGGTTGGTTCCATGTGTGCTCTGCTCTGTGTGCCACACATGTGTGGTGGGGTTGGTGGGGGACGGGGGAAGGGGTTGAAAGGAGACGGGGAGGGGGGGTGGGAGCAAGAGGGGGGGGAGGGGAAAAGAAGGGCCAGTGTGGGGGGAGCGTGGGGTCTTTTTGAATCAGCGAAACGCTTCATAACCGGCGGTGCAGGTCAGCTATGTGGAATTTACTTTTGAGAGTTCTCAGAAGTAAAATCCAAGGTGCAGGTCATCAACCTTATGAGCTTGTTCCGTATGGATGAGATGAGATGTGATGTCACGTGATGAAGTAGGAAAAGTGGCAACAGTAGGTAGGTAGGTAGGTAGGTAGGTAGGTAGGTAGGTAGGTAGGTAGGTAGGTATGTAGGTAGGTAGGTAGGTAGGTAGGTAGGTAGGTAGGTAGGTAGGTAGGTAGGTAGGTAGGTAGGTAGGGTCGCACAACGCCCAGCACACACACATAAGTTCGAGCGTGTGTTTTTTTAGAATTCTCAAAAAACGGTAGTTAGGGTCGCGCCACACCCAGCACACACACATACCACAGGGGATGTATACAAGCGATGGTAGTGCCACAGAGCCATGTGCTGTGAGTTGTGGTAGCTTGACGAGGTTCAATCCAGTCCACCACACAACTCTCCTAGCCCACCACACAACTCCCAGCACACACACATACCGCAGGGGATGTATCCAGGTGATGGTAGTGCCACAGAGCCATGTGCGGTGGGGTTGCATCCGCTGTCAAAGTAATAGATCACCTGGTGGTGGGGAGGGTGATGTGAGGGTGGGGTTGGGGTGATGTGGGGGTGGGGTGGGGTTCGGGTGGGGGTGATGCAATAATGATAGTGCTGTTGAGGGTGATGATGTGATGGGGTGGCAGCAGCAGAGAACCATGTGCGGTGGCGTTGCACCTGCTGTCAAAGTAATGGTGAGGGTCATGGGAGGGTGCGGATGTTGCCCTCCCTACATGGCAATGTTACCACATGTTACAGCATACTACCACTTGTTACCACATGTTACCGTGTGTTTCAACGTGCCTGGATGGTCTTCTCCTTGCTGAGGGGCTGCTTGGAGGTGGGGTCTCGGATGTAGTCGCATTTACCATGGATGGTGCGGATGTTGCTCTCCTCACACGCATGCCACCGGCACTACCACATGTTACCACGTATTACTGCATGTTACCGCATGTTACTGCATGTTACCACGTGCCTGGATGGTCTTCTCCTTGCTGAGTGGCTGGTTGGACGCAGGGTCTCGGATGTAGTCACACTTGCCATGGATGGTGCGGATGTTGACATCCCCACATGGCACCGGGGCTAGCTCTGCAAGAGATAATTTCTCAATCAACAAGCGAGTATGGGAGGGTTTTAACAGTGGAATATGGATGCATGTGTTGGAGGCATTGATGACCTATTTGCATGGATTGCATACATGCAGACACATATGCTCAAACCCACAAAAGCCACACATGCATGCACACATACATGCACACATGCGTGCATACAGGGTGAGTCTGTGGCAACAGAAGCAGCTAAAAATGAAGTCCAGGCAACATGCTGCATGCACACAACCACTCGCAGAAGCTAAGAGTTGATTTCACAGGAAGTGCCGAATGAGAAACTAGAAACAAACAAGGATGCAGCACACTACAAGATTCAGAGAGAGAGCTTACCACAGAAGAGAGGGTCAGCTCGAATATCCTAGTTGTTGTACAGGACTTAGATTTTGATTGATCTCAATAATAAAGTGCGTGAAGAAAAATTAGAACAGAAAAAAGGATGTAGCAGAGCAGAGCACAGAATTCAGAGAGAGCTTACCACAGAAGAGAGGGTCAGCTGGAATCTCCCACGTGGAATCCCCTCCCTCACAGTCTGTTGACATCGGGCAAACAAGATAGATACACCATAACGTGTTGCAGATTTACCCTAGATGCAATGCAGCTGGAAGCGAGAACAACAGGGACGACAAGAGAGGGTTGGCTAAAATCTCCCAGTTTAAAACCCCCCATCGCAATCTGTTGACATTGAGCAAAGGAGATAGTAACAGCATAGCGTGTTTCGCATACAGCCTAGATGCAACCGGAAGCGAGGGCAATGGGGACAAGACAGAGGATGGTTCATGATCGTGCATCTACAAATAGATCACATAGGGACAACTGGTAGACTGGTAGTGACGATAGATACATCTTAGCGTCGTCTATCCACCCAGTCCAGAGAACAAGGTCAGCTTCTAGCCAACGTTTTGCAAATAAAACACTGAGAAACCCTAACCGAATGCAAATCTGGACTGGAGTTCACAAACGAGTGCGTACTCGCTGGCTGGAAGGAGAGGAATTTTGAGGCGCCTCAAAAGTCGGCTGGAATTCTCAAAATCAACCTCAACAATTTCGGACTTGAGTTCAGAAACGAGTGCGTACTGGTTGGTTGGAAGGAGAGGGTGCAGGAGCCATTGTCTGCCTTGACGTACTTGCGCTCATAGTCCTCTGGCGTGCAGTCTGCATGGGGTGTGATGCGACAAATGCACGCACGTATGGACACATGGTGGTGGGATATGGCCGCTGGCACATTGCCAGGCCCTTGCCTGCCATTGTCTGCCTTGACATACTTGCGCTCGTAGTCCTCTGGCGTGCAGTCTGTGTGGGAGGAGAGAGGTAAAGGCACAGCACACACACACAGGCATGGAGATGTCATGTCATGCCATGTCATGCCATGTCATGCCATGCCATGTCATGTCATGTCTTGTCTTGTCATGTCATGTGTCACGTCATGACACATCATCATGTGTCATGTCATGTCATGCCATGTGTCATGTGTCATGTGTCATGTCATTTCACATCATGTGACATGTATGATGTCATGTCATGTGTCATGTCATTTCATGGCATGTGTCATGTCATGTCATGTCATGTCATGTCATGTGTCATGTCATTTCATGGCATGGGTATGGGGTGGGATTAGATGCACACACAAATGAACACACAGCTGGCGTCTGTACGGTACATATCACGGTACGAATCTGGCTTGGTTTGAATTACCACAATATCATGGCATCATCTCGTGATTATGATCTGGGTTGAAGTTCAGAGTTCATACTCAAAGTGACTCCTTCGGTCCTTAAGCCCTAAAACCACGATGCACCAGCTCAGCTCGCCGTAAAACCCTAAAACCAGGGTGCACCACCAGGTCACCCTAAAATCCTAAAACCACCGTGCACTCACCCCTAAACCCTGAAACCACGGCACCAGCAGCTCACCGCAGGGCTCAGGTCGAGGAGAGAGGTTCAGCGGGAAGGGGTCGGTGCAGTTGCGGGCCTTGTTGAAGAAAATGCGCCTCTGCTGACCTGAAAAGGAGCAGGGGGCGGGGTAAGCAGGAGGGGTCCAATACACTCCAAGGGTTCGGTGCAGTTGCTGGCCTGGCAGGCAAGCCAGATACTCGGATAGATACTCGGATAGTCTGACAGTTGCAACCCAGCGAGCTAGGCTCGGAAATCAAAACGCTCTCTTCTTGAGGCTTCACTCACACAAGGACACAATGAAACGCTCTTCTTGCACCTTGACTCACCTTGGCAGGGGCCGGATACTCTCGTATAGTCCGACAGCTGGCACACCAGGGAGCTAGGCTCGGGGACGGCTGGCAGCGGCTCCTCACCCTCGTCCGAACCAGACGATGGTGCTTCGGACGGAGGCTCGGAAGGAGGTTCCGGTGGTTCGGAGGGTGGTGCGGCAGATGGTTCGGACGCAGGTGCTAGGGCAGGAAGGGATGGTTCCGCAGGCGAAGATAGTGGTGCGAGCAGGGATGGCTCGGCAACAGGCTCGGGAGGTGGAAGAGAAGGCTGGACAATAGGCTTGGCAGCAGGTTTGGCAACATGCCTGGGAGCAGGGAGGGAAGGCTCGGCAGATGGTTCAGCGGCTGGGAGCTGAGGCTCGGCAACAGACGCAGCAGCTGGTGATGGTGCTGATGGTGACGATGGTGCTAGTGTTGGTGCTGATGTTGATGCTGGTGCTAATTCTGCTGATGGTGGCAATGGTGCTAGTGTTGATGCTGATGTTGATGCTGGTGATGCTGATGATGGTGGTGATGTTGATGATAATGGTGATGGTGGTGATGATGGTGACAAAGATGTTGATGCTGATGGTGCTGATTGTAACAATGCTGGTGGTGCTAGTGATGGTGGTGTTACTGCTGGTGATGATGATGGTGGTAATAATTCTGGTGATGATGGTGCTGATGGTTCTGATGGTGCTGATGGTGGTGATGGTGCTGGTACTGCTGGTGATGATGGCAATGATGGTGCTGCTGCTGTTGATGTCGATGCTGGCACTGCACCACTGACTCCACCTGATGCCGTTCCTCCGATCTCTCTTGACATTGTAGACCCTGTTCGTCCAATCGACTCTGTTGACCCAGTTGACCCTGTCCCGGTTGAACCTGTCCCAGTTGAACCTGTCCCAGTTGGCCCTGTCCCAGTTGCTGACCCTATTGACTGTGTCCCTGATGGTGTTGACCCAGCTGCACCAATCAATCCTGCTGCTGCTGCTACTGATCCGAAATCTGCTGCTGCTGCTGTGACTGGCGCTCCTGCAGAGACAAAGACGTGCCAATGCGGTTCTGAAAGCGCCAGCAGCACTACTACCAACAACACGAACGGGGTGGAAACCCGCAATGTCGGCTCCATTTTACGATAAATGTGACATCGAGCCTCCATAACGGTAACGGGTCAGTCTCTGTCGATATCCTTCCTCTCCTGGTGTGAGAACGACGCCGCGTGATTGGTTCCTAGAGTTCTAGGGACAGAGGCAATGCGACTGCGAGTGATACCAGAAAGGTGTGTTACGCGTTTCGATACATCTTTAAGCTCGAGGCAAAGAGGACGACGCGACACGGATACCTAGGAATTTGACTCTAAAATTATCACTACATGGGACGGACCAGCGTGAAGTCCAGTTTCCAAATGTGAGGTGACGATATTGCTCGAACTGGCATGCGATGTTGCTCGCTCTAAACGTCAAACGACGAGGCTCTAGCCATCAAGCGGCATCACGTCTGGCTGCATTCAACGACTGCGTGCTCATCTCCGTACCATGTGGCACTCTACGAGTTGACAGCAGCATTGCTGACCTTTTCATGAACGCATGGCGGAATAACGAATAACGAGAATGTGATTG